AGTTACGAGTTTTCCCACATTTTATCTTAACTGTAAATCTTGTGTCTAGTTGTTTCATTGCTTCCACTAGATTGCAAGCTCTCAAGGGACAGGACTCTGTCTATTCCTCTCTATAGTTCTCCTTTATCATGATGTTTGGTATGTGATAGGAAATTAGTGAATGTATAATACATGCAGTGGGGCTATTCATAAAAGAAAGAAGGCTGCTAATATGTTGAGCTTCCCCTGTTTCTATTAAACCTCCCTCTTCCCAAAAACCATTTGTGGCCTTTCTTTCATTGTGGAGAATAAGGCTTTTCTCCTGTGATTCTGTGCTCAGAACTAAAGTTGACTGTCTCAAGGACCAAAAGACTGGTCTCTGAATATTGTCAGCATGAGAAGTATAATTGTGAGCCAATCAGGAAAAAATTAATTTATGGATGCAGGTAACACAGTATCATCTAGTAACATTTCTTTTTTGATTTGAGATGGAGTTTCACTCTTGTCGCCCAGGCTGGAGTGCAATGGCACTGTCCCAGCTCATTTCAACCTCCACCTCCTGGGTTGAAGCGATTCTCCTGCCTCAGCCCCCTAAGTAGCTGAGATTACAGGCATGCACTACCACACCTGGCTAATTTTGTATTTTTAGTAGAAACAGGGTTTCTCCATCTTGGTCAGGCTGGTCTTGAACTCCTGACCTCAGGTGATCTGCCCGCCTCGGTCTCCCAAACTGCTGGGATTACAGGCTGAGCAATCATGCCCTGCCCATGTTAGTTTTTAACATGAATGTGCGTGTAGTTGTTAGTATGTTATTTTATTATCTGTTTAGTGACTACAGGATCTGTGGTTATATTTTCTCTTTCAGTGCTGGCATTCTTAATTTGAATCTCCTCTATTATTTTAGCATCACAAGATTACAATCTTTACTGACTGTATTAAAAAACAATTTTAAGCTGTGTGCAGTGACTCATGCTTGTAATCCTAGCACTTTGGGAGGCCAAAGTGGGCAGATCACTTGAGGTCAGGAGTTTGAGACCAACCTGGCCAACATGGTAAACCTCATGTTTACTAAAAATACAAAACTTGGCCAGGCATTGTGGAGTGTGCCTGTAGTCCCAGCTACTCAGGAGACTGAGGCAGGAGAATCGCTTGAACCCAGAATGGGGAGGTTACAGTGAGCCGAGATTGCACCATTGCACTCCATCCTGGGCAGGGCAAGACTCTGTCTCAAAAAATATATATTTTTTAATTGTATTGATTTTCTTTTTAAAGTTTTATTGATTTATTCTTCAATTATTTCCTGTCCTCTGCAAGCTCTGATTTTATTTTGCTCTTTTTCTGGTTTCTTTACATGAAAGCTTAAATGATTAATATGAGATTTTTCTTTTTTTCTAATATATGTGTCTAGCGCTGATTATTTGCCTCTTCACAATGCTTTATCCATGTCTTACCACATTTTATATGTTTTATTTTTATTTAGGTCTATATTATTTTTAATTTTCCCCAAGATTTCCCTTTTTAGCTCATGAGTTATTTAGAAGAATACATTTCAATTTCCATATGTTTGAGGGATTTCTTTTCCTTATTTTTATATAATGGAAACTTATACTCTGAACACATTAGGTTAAAATTCAATTACACTTGTTTGGTTACATTATATAGGTTGCTCAAGTATCGTTGGAGCAGACTTTTCAGATATTAACTTTATGTAGTGGTTGTCAGTCGTTTGCACTTGTAGAGTGGCAAATAAAAAATACCCTGAAAATATGACCCTCAGGCCACTAGAGAAGCTCACAGAGACAGAAATAGTGGGAATTTTCTGAGTCCCCAAGTGCTCATTGCTTTCTGGGCCAGCACACAGGGATCCAACAAAGCCAGAGTTAGTGTTCAGAAAGGGGCAAGGAATAGAAGCATGGCGAATGTCCTGGCATCACCTAGCTGGTTCTAGTGACCCATGCGGGGTCCCATGGGATAAGCTGTCTTGTGCTGTTACTCTCTTAAAACTCTCCTTCTGCATGTCAATGAGCGAACCTGTATTTGGACATGTTCACATGAACTGATTGGAAAAGGGAAGATAAATTTATCATGACCAATCCCTTTAGGATTGGTTTTAGGAACTTACTGATCCTGTATTCACCTTGGGCGTTTGTCTGTTGTGTCTGCTGTCAGAGAATGTCTTTTCATCTCAAATACACTTCTACAGATACATCCAATACAAGTCCCTAGTCATGATCTTTGGAATGAATGAATATATTTCAAAGAACATTAGAAGGAAGGCCTATGGCATGAGAGGTAGAACTGGTCCTTCAGAGGACTGGGATGAAGAAGAGAAATGAACTAGCATTAGGACACCCTTAATCTCAATGTATTTGCCTAACGTAAGCTCAGAGGGTGCAATTGTGTGCACAGAGTATCCTTGATGACATCATAACTCAGAATTCAGTAAACCAGCTTATCAGGTCCCTCACAGGGGATGTGCTAGGGTGGTGGCCACTCTTGAAAGTCTGTGCCCAGTGATGAAAAATAGTATGAAGGTTGTTTAAAAATGCAAAATAGAATAACCATACTATTCAACAGTCCTACTTCTCAGTATATAACTTGAAGAATTAAAGGCAGGATCTCAAAAAGATATTTGCACACCCATGTATATTGCAGTCTTCTTCACAATAGCCAAGAGATAAAAGCAATCCAAATGACTTTGGTGGATAAAAGGATAAAATAACGGTGTGTACATGTATGTGTATGTGAATATACACATACCATATTTTATATATATATATTACACCATATATATATATATAAAATAGAAGACTAAGCTGCCTTTAGAATGAAGGAAACCATGTCACATACTACAATATGGATGAACTCCAAGAACGTTGTGCTAAGTGAAATAAGCCAATAACAAAAAGACAAATTTTTTTCATATGAAGTATTTAAAGAAGTCAAAATCACAGTAGTGGCTGCTGAGGGTGGGGAGTGAGAGTGTGGTGATGGGATTAGTGTTTAATATGTACAGAATTTTACTTTTGGAAGATGAAAAATTTCTAAAGATCTAAATTTCTGAAGATTAAGAAGAATATCCTTAATGTGTTAAGTATATTCAGTGATGTAAATGTACTTAACATTACTGCACTGTACACTTCAAATTGCTTTAAATGATTTTTTCAAAAGCAGCAGCATAGGAATAAATCTTCATGACTTAAATGATTTCTTAAATATGACACCAAAAACACAAGTAACAAAAGAACACATAGATAAATTGGACTTCATCCAAAGTAAAAAACTTCTGTGCTTCAAAGGGTACTACTCAGAAAGTAAATGACGGCTGGGCACAGTGGCTCAGGTCTGTAATCCCAGCACTTTGGTAGGCCGAGGTGGGGGAAGATTTTTGAGCTCAGGAGTTCAAGACCATCCTGGGCAACACAGCAAGACCCTGCCTTTATACGCAAAAAAAAAAAAAGAAAGAAAATTAAGTACAACCATGGAATGGGAGACTATTATTGCAAATTATATCCTGTAAAGGATTTGTTTCTTTGTTTTTGGGGTGGCATCTCGCTTTGTTGCATTGCCCAGGCTGGAATGTTCCGAGCTTACTTCAACCTCCACCTTCTAGGTTCAAGTGATTCTCCTACCTCAGCCTCTAGAGTAGCTGGAATTACAGGCACACACCACCATGCCGAGCTAATTTTTGTATTTTTAGTAGAGGTGGGGTTTCACCACATTGGCCAGGCTGGTCTTGAACTCCTGACCTCAGGTGATCCACCTATCTTGGCCTCCTGAAGTGCTGGGATTACTGGGATGAGCCACCTCGCCTGGCCCCCCAAAAGGATTTTTATCGGGAATACATAGAGAGTTCATATAACTCAGTGAAAACACAAAAACCAGTTAAAAATGAGAAAATGTCAAGTGCACATTGCTTCAAGAAGATACACAAATGACCAATAAGCACATGAAAGAGGTTCAATGCCAGGGAAGTACAAATGAAAACTATGATGAGACGGGACTTCAGAATCACTGGAATGACTTTTATCAAAAAGAGAGATGATAAATGGCTGGAATATGGAGAAAAACTGAGACCCTCACACAGCTAGTGGGTATATAAAATGATATCTCTACTCTGGAAATAGTCTGGTACCTTCTGAAATTGTTAAACCTAGAGTTCCCATGTGACCCATCACTTTCAGTCTTAGGTATACAGCTATGAGAAATGACAACATACATCCCCACAAAACATTGTACACAAGTATCTTAGAAGTGTTATTCACAATAGCCAAAAAGTGAAAACAACCCAAGTGTTCATCACCTGGTGTATAAATAAGTTTCCGGATATCCACCAGTGGAATATTATTCAGCAACAGAAAGATTTGATGTGATGATAGATGCTAAAAACATGGGTGAACCTTGGAAATATTCGTAGTAAAATAAGACCGGTTGTGAAAGATATATATTGTATGATTCCACTCATATGAAAGTCCAGAGTATGTAAATCTATGTAGAAAGTACATTCGTGGTTACGTAGGCCTAGGGTGCAGATGGGGGGACAGCTAAAAGACAGAGTTTTGTTTTGTTTTTTCACTCTGTCACCCCATCTGGAGTGTAGTGGCACAATCTCAGCTCACTGCAACCTCTGCCTCTGGGGTTCAAGTAATTCTCCTGCCTCAGCCTCTCGTGTAGCTGGGATCACATGTGTGCCATCATGCCCAGCTAGTTTTTGTATTTTTAGTAGAGAAGGGGTTTTGCCATGTTGACCAGGCTGGTCTTCAACTCCTGTCCTCGAGTGATCTACCCACCTTGGCCTCCCAAAGTGTTGGGATTACAGGCATGGGCCACTGCGCACAAACTAGGGTTCGGTTCTGTTCTTTCCTTTCTTTCTTTCTTTCTTTCTCTTTCTTTCTTTCTTTCTTTCTTTCTTTCTTTCTTTCTTTCTTTCTTTCTTTCTTTCTTTCTTTCTTTTTCTTTTTTTCTTTCTCTTTCTCTCTCTCTCTCTCTCTCTCTCTCTCTCTCTCTCTCTCTCTCTCTCTCTCTTTCTTTCTTTTTTTTGATACCAAGTTTTGCTCTTGTTGTTCAGGCTGGAGTGCAGTGGTGCGACCTCGGCTCACTGCAGCCTTCGCCTCCCAGGTTCAAGTGATTCTCCTGCCTCAGCCTCTCAAGTAGCTGGCATTGCAGGCACCCACCACCGCACGCAGCTAATTTTTTGTCTTTTTAGTAGAGACGGAGTTTCACCATGTTGGCCAGGCTGGTCATGAACTCCTGACCTCAGGCGATTCACCTGCCTCGGTCTCCCAAAGTGCTAGAATTACAGTAGTGAACCACCATGCCCAATCAGGGGTTTCTTTTCGAGGCAATAAAAATGTTCTAAAGTTTATTGAGGTGATTCTTGCAAATTCTGTAAGACTTAATGCAATGACGGCTGCAAATTCTATAAATTTAATGTGGTGATGGTTGCAAATTCTATGTAAAACACAATTGTACAATTTCAGTGAGTGAAAGCATGCTATGTGAATGTCTTAATAAAGTTTTTATTTTAAAAATGAGCAAAGGGTAGAATGTTAACATGGCCCATATCTATGGGTGGGTGTATTGGTTTCTATCATATTTTTTCTTTGTGGTATCTATTATATTTTTCTATGTGACCTGGGTGCATGAGCAGGGAAGCCACGCCCACCAAGAGCCTCAGCACACCCCCAGCACCTGCTGTGAGTGAGCTTCCTGGCTTCCCTGAGCACGTATGTGATGATGTCATGGGTGTTTACAGATTCCCTTTCACTGTTTATGACAGCACTCCTGGTTCATGTGTGATATGCTGCACGTGGGGTGGAGGTATGCTGACCCTCATAAAGGGCTGAGCCTTTCTTCGTTCTTTCCCGTGGCTCTGATGCACGGTTTCCAGATACCACTTAGGAAGGAAGTTCCTGAGATGATAGTCCTTGTGCTAGTCATATAGGGCTCCTAGGGTAAAGTGTCAGACTTGGGGGGGTGGTGGGCGGGGCATGTATTAAGAAAAGAAATGTATTTGTCACAGTCTGGGGGCTGGAAGTCTAAGGTTAGGGTCCCAGTGTGCTGAGGTTCTGGTGAGGGCTCTCTTCCTGGCTTGCGAACGGCTGCCTTCTCACTGTGTCTTCATGTCAGGGAGAGAGAGCTCTGGGGTCTCTGCTTCCTACCAGGACCCTAATCCCAACATTAGGGCCCCACTCTCATGGTCTCATCTAGCCCTGAAGAACTCCCAAAGGCCCCAACTCCAAATACCATCACCTATCCTGGATTAGGACTTCAACACAGGAATTGGCGGGAGCGGGGAATTGAACATTCAGTTTATAAGGGCCCCCCAGTCACTCACACTGTCCCCGTTTAGGGGCAGATTGTAGGGCACAGGCGGGACATAGAGGTGGAGGAAGCACAGGTTCTTCCTCCTGCAAATAGTTCAGCCAAAACAAGGTCAGGGACATGGGGCAGACAACAGCCAGTGGGGTAACCAGCAGGAGTCCCGAGGTGTCACTAAGCCAAAGTGTCACTTTCATCCTTAGGCGAGGAAGTTGGCTGAGCACCCACACACACCAGAGTACAGACCATGTTCCCTTCAAACATGGCTCACTTACCATTCCTTAACCCTGCAAAGGGGAGGTGCTATCTGGTCTCCTGAGGATGGCCCTGAATGTAGAGGAGTCATGGGAGCTGCGCACATCACCCACCAGTGACTCTTCACTCCCCACATTTTCCCCGATGGGCTGATGTGCACTGAGCTGGGGAAGCCATGCCAAGATAAACTCTTCTTCCCAAAGGCCACAGAGGGCAGGATCCAACACTGCTCACATGGAGCAGAAGGGATGGGGCAGAGGGGCATCTGTCCAGCTGACTGGTGTGTTCTGTGGGTGGATGGGGCCAGAGAGGACCCAAACATGGCTCCCTTTGTCACTCAGTGGAGGGGCCAGACTGCCATGTACTGGACAGCTATGCCCCACCAGCCTCTGCTGCTGGGCCAGCCCCTGGCACCATGACCACAGCTCTGTATACAGGGAGTGCTCTGGCAGTCACCGTGGTCCTGAGCCAACAAGGGCCCTGGGGAGGAATCGGAACTCAGATGGTGAAGAAGGTATTGGCCAGGAGGGAACCAGGGCGGGTGCCGGGTCCTGTCTATGCTGGAATCTGAGATTCTGAGAGGTGGGTTAGGGTTAAGGGGGTAGAGGTCGGCCACATGGGGTGAAGGGAGTTCAGCAGAGATGGGGAGGACAAGACAATGTGGGAAAGAGCAGAGCATCCTCCCCAGCCCCAGTCCCTCTCCTGATGCAGTCCTCATGTCACTCTTAGACTCCAGAAGTCTCCCTTTAGAGAACACCTGGCCCCTGACTCCCAGGGCACTTCCCAGACAGCCAGTGCCACATCCCAGGCAGCCACTGCTCTGCCCTTGGGGTCTGTGCCTGGCAAAAGGGTGGCTGACCCTCGACCCCTCTCGGCCTGGGTCCCAGCTCTCCCTGGCCTGGGACCAGCACACCCACCCTGCACCTGGCAGGCTGGCCATGCTTGTGCCCATTGGTGATGGTGGGTTGGGAAGGAACTGGCTCAAATACCAATGCAAGTCCGTGTCTGCATCAATTCCACCCAAGAGTTCAGTCATCATATGGGAAGGGAATCATAGCTGTGGGGGGCTCCATGCAGGACTCTGAGGGCCCCTGAGGCCAGTCCCTGTGGCCACAGCAAGGAGCATCTGCTTCTGCCAGTTGGACAAGACTTTCCTGCCCAGAAACTGGCAGAGGGACTTCCCCTGCTCCCCACCCACCATTGTATACCAAACACACCTGTGTGGATGGATGCCTCGACATCTCCCCTTAGCCCAGGGCCTGAGCTTTTCCTGATGAGGGTTAAGTAGGAGTGGCTGCCTCTCCCTGTGACCATGTTGTGGGCAGCTGCCTTCTCAGCTCCCACGGGGCAGAACAAGAGCCAGCCAGCTCTCAACATCCCAGGATTTTCCAGGGATGCTGATAACTAAAGCAGGTGGGGCCTTGTGAGTGGGTGGTGGGAGGGATCAGGGCTTCCTCAGCATCTGTCAGTCCCTGGAGCATCTGAAGGGGCAACCTACACCTAGAGGAACGAGTGGGGCTGGCTCCTGTGGGTCCCCAGTGCCTGGCATCTTCCGGTGTCTCTGCTCTCCCTCACAGACCCCCTCCACTGAGCAGCACAGCCCTGAGGACAGAGGCAGCAGCCCCGAGAGCGTTTCCAACCCAACTATATGTATTTGTATCTACACAGGAGACCCCCAAGGTGTTGCTCCCCACCTCCTACTCCCTCCCCCTAGGACCTCCCTTCCCGTTCAGCCACCCTCTTCCTCCCCTTCCTCTCCCACCCTCAGAAGCTAATGCCCAGCAAGATCAGCACTGGGGGAGAAGTCTTTGCTTTGGGTTACCCGGTGCCATGAGGGTACGAGAGTTGAGAGCCCCACCCTTGAGGATTGGCACCAGAGAGCCTGCCCTGTCCCCCTACTGGCTACAGTGCTGCGTTTTCTTCCTCTTAGATAGCAAGGGGTCACCCTTTCTCTTTTGGGACTGTGAGGGGCCACCCAGCCCCCAAGCCAAGGATTGTGCCCCAGAGACTCTGAGCCCAGGCCCTAGGTGGGGCATCTGTTCAGCAGGGGATGGGCCTCCAAAGAGAGCTTGCTTCTTGGACTTGGTGGCAGGAGCAGGTGCTGCGCTGAGGCCTCTTCTCTTTGCTGATTGGGACTGAAGAGCTCCCTGGGGTCCCCATCCTTCTGGGTTGAGAAGGCCTGAGGCAGGGACAGGGCTCTGGGACAGCTTCCAGGGCCGCAGCCTGTAGTTCTGTCGTAGCACGACAGAAACTATACCAAGGATTTCCCTCTCCTCCTCACTTGACCCCTTAGACAGCCTGCGTGACTCCTTGACAGGAGAGGCTCCAGGGAGACCCCAGGTGTCCTTGGTCCCCACACCTGGGCAGGTGGGTCTATGGTCCTGGGGAGGAGAGTTTGCCCGGGCAGCCCTCAGCCAGTGGGAATCCAGTCTCTCCAAAAGAACAACAGGGATTTTGGACCTGACCATCCCAGTGCGCTCTCTGCCTTGTCCCTGAGGGTCCCGGGAGGTCGTCTGGGGTGGGCAGGTTTCCATGCTGACCCCTTGTTGGGGGCCAGGGACATCTCTCTCTGCTCCTTGGCCTGCTGCAGACTCAGAAGAGATTGAGTCTGGCTGGGTGCTGCCATGACTAGGGGCTGCCCTCGCACACCGTTCCTCTTTCAAGTATAGGAGGCGCTTCTCTGCTACCTGCGGGAGGAAACGGGGCACTTACTGGCATTGCCCCAAATATGAACAGGGTCCAGGGCGGTGGAGACCAGGGCACTTGGGTGGCAGGCAGTAAGCCTGAGGCAGCTGGCTTCCTGTCAAAGACAGAGGGTGCTGGCTCTGCCAGGCATCCCGCTGGGCCTCACTGCAGTTTGCGTCCTGACTCCCCTCCCTGGCTTCTCTCCATCATGCTCCATCTGAACCTGCACCTTCCCACCTGGGAGTGGCCCCCCAAGCAGGGTAGGGTAGGCAATCAGATAGGGCTTGTGTGCCGGGTCCCTCCTGCCCCCAGGGTACCTGGGTTCCCCTCCCTCCCTGCTCTACCTGGGCAAGGGTGAGTCCTTCTTCCTGCTCCAGCTCTTGGCTTAGGGCCAAGAAATCCATCTGTGAATCTGGGGAAAGCAATTCTTCCAGGAATTGGGGGTGAATGACGACCTCCACCTGGAAACAGAAGGAAGACGGCGTGAGCTTCCCGGGCAGGGAGTAACCTGGAGCCAAGGACACCTGGAGGAGATGCAGAAAGCAGTGAGTGCCCCGTCCCCACCCTTCTGGAGCTGTCTCATATCATGGTGACCACCAGCTCCAGACACAGACCACAGACCTCGTAGCATACACACATGCAGACACCACACAAACCACACACGGACACACAAACAGGCCCACATACAACACAGGAAAATAGACACAAGTAACGTAAACACTCCACACTCACACCCACACAGACACACAAAAACACACAGTAAAAAAATCGCGGCCGGGTGCAGTGGCTCACGCCTATAATCCCAGCACTTTGGGAGGCTGAGGCGGGTGGATCACGAGGTCAAGAGATCGAGACCATCCTGGTTAACAAGGTGAAACCCCGTCTCTACTAAAAATACAAAAATTAGCTGGGCATGGTGGTGCGCGCCTGTAGTCCCAGCTACTCGGGAGGCTGAGGCAGGAGAATTGCTTGAACCCAGAAGGCGGAGGTGTTGCAGTGAGCCGAGATCGTGCCATTGCACTCCAGCCTGGGTAACAACAGCAAAACTCCGTCTCAAAAAAAAAAAAAACAAAAAAACAAAAAAACAAAAAACGCAGGCACAAACACACAGCAGAGCTTAATTCCAAGGACCTGTGAGTGACCCCCTTTCCCCCATTGGAATCCTGCAGACCCCAGCACTTCAGGCCAGCCCACCTTGGTGATGAAGTCCTTCTGGGAACACAGATTGTCAACGTAGCTCAGGAGGTAGGGGTCTGAAAACATCCTGTCCTTTTCCTGCTCCACTTTGCCCTCTTCCCTTTGTCCCTCGAGCTCCCCCGTGGCCCCAATGGGAGGCCCCAGCAGCTCCTCCATGATGTCCACATACTCCTGCACCACTTCAGCAGGGAATCTTCTCGGGGGCCTTGGTCTCTGCTGGCTGCTGGGGCCTTGGTCTCTGCTGTGGTGGCAGGCAGGCAGGGCCTTGGGGCCAGCCTTGCTGGGAAGGTACACTGAGGCAGGGAGGGAGGAGGATGGGCATGGTGAGGGCTGCTCCTCCTGCCTGCATCACACAGGGGAGGGCAGGGCTCAGGGACCTGAACTGGGTCCCAGCAGGGTCAGGACCACCTGAACCACAGCGCCCCCAGAGGAGACGCTGCAGGAGGGGCACTGTGAGACAGCATCATCTTGGAGGAAGTTTGGATAAGCTGAGTACTCTACCCGCTCATCTCTGCTTCCTGAGCAGATTGTTGAGTTTTGGAATGGCGAGCGGAGAGAGTAGCTACGAAACGTGACCAGGTGAATACCCACTTCATGACCATGGGCCACCCAGTCCCCCGGCTCCCCTGAGCTGTCTTGTTGGAAGGAACAAATCCCTCTCTTGAAGGGAGGCATGGGGTGTGGGGACAGTGGCCTCTCTTGGCCCCTCTGGCCTTTGCCGTGGCTCGTGTGGGAATGTGGGAAGCCGTACCTGGCTCCTTGACCACCTCAGGGGTTGACAGTCCCTGAGGTTCAAGCCTTGGCAGGGCGGGAGGAGGCAGGCACTGGGGCACCTTCATCCACTGCGACTTCTGAATCTGTATCTTCTCTTCAGCCTCAAACTCCAGGAACCTGGGGTGAAGAAGGTGCAGGCCGTGCTGAGAGAGTCCAGGCCCCTTTCCCCCAGGACCAGGCAGCAGCCGAAGGCAGGGATGGTAAGGCGTGCCTCTGGCGGGCTGTCCAGGCCCTCCCTGGGGCCTGTCCCCCAGTCCCAAGAGGGAGCTGCTCCCAGAGTTCTGGGCTCTCCCTCCCTCACCCGGCCCCTGCAGAGCCCATGGCATCAACAGGGCTTTCTGACTCAAGTCAAGGCCACAAGGCCCAGGAGGGCACCAGGGGGGCCTCTCTTCCAGGCTTCAGTTGGCCAGGGGTGGGGTTTATGGCAGAAGGTGTCAGGAATGTTGCCCAGAGGCAAGAGTCCTGAGGTTGGGACTGTGGGTCCCTGAAGGATAACCCAGGAAGATGAGGCCTGGGAGACCCCTGGTTGGGAGGAAGCAAAAGCTGAGCCCAGAAGACAGGGCCCTTTCCCCTGAGGCTGCTGTTTGTCTGTCTTAACTGTGAGGAGGAAAGGCAGGCAGGCCAGAAATGGGTCTCATGGTGTCCTGGACACATGTCTCCCCTGACCCAGCACGGGTTTCTCCAATCCTGGCCAGGCTGGGATGGGCGAAAACCAACTTCTGGCCACTGCGGTGAGGAGAGTGCATCCCGTTCTGTCTATAGTCGCCAGCGCCCCTTCTCCCCATCCCCACAGCTGGAGGTGACCACCTTTGGGCTGCGATGCTGGCTGCTCCCTCCATGACCCCCAGGGTCAGGCAGCGGTTGTCCCCAGACCAGGCAGGGCGTGGTTTTCCACCAGGGCAGCGTAGAGACCCCAGAGCACTCTAGGAGGGAGCAGCAGCTTCCTGAGGGAGTCAGGGGCCCAGGAGGGCCGGTGTTTGCCCACACCCTCCTCATGCTCCACGCTGAGAAGCCACCATGGCCACCTGACTTCTGTCACCCTCTCTCACCCTGCCATGCGAGCTCTGCCCCTGCACCCCAGACTCACTTTCCTGCCATCTTATAGTAGATATCTGGTCAGAGTTGCTCGTGTGCTGCCATTCCTGCATGGCCCGCCACAGTCCCTCCTCCAGGGTCATGCTGGGCTTCTGGTGGGCCAGGGATCTGAGAACTGGGCTGTAAAGCGGTGCAGTCAGTCCCAGTCCACAAGCCCACCCTCCATCCCAAGCCCACCTGATCCCAACACCCAGCCCCTGTCCTCCCCACACGTGTCCTGCCATGTGTCCCTGTTCTGTTCTCCCCAGTGTGGGCTCCTCAGCCTCCAGGACACGCCCCCAATATCAAACATCAACACAAGCCACCGGGTAGCCTCTCCGACTGCCCGTCGAGTCCTCAGTGTTGACAAGTAAACTCAGTACTATGGGTGGAATGTGTGTGTCCCTAGCATTCCTGTGCTGAAGCCCTCAGCCCCAGTGTGTCCGTTCTTGGAGTCAATCAGGGTGAGAGCAGGTCATGTGAGTGGGTTCCTATCATGGCATCTGAGCCCTGATAAGGGCAGGAGGAGACACCAGGGCTCTCCCTCTTTACCTGGGACGTCCAGCCTCTGGAGCTGGGAGACGTGAATGTGTCCTGATAAAGCACCCAGTCTATAGGATTTGTTAGGGCAGAGCCTGAACTGACTGAGACAGCGCACACACAGAATGACCAGAGAGCGAAGGTTAATGTGCAGGTTCCAGGGCCCCAGGACTGAGCATTTAACCAGCTTTCTGGGGACTCTGGAGCAAGGCAGCCCCTGGGGACGCAGCCTCAGGGTCCTGGAGAGGAGCAGAAACCAGAACCAAAGCAGAGTGGCGTCCAAGCCCACTCCACGCCAAGCCTGTGAGCCTGGGGTGACTCCACTCTGAGAATCAGAGTCCCCAGTGCACCGGGACTCAGCTCAAAGGGAGAAGGCAACTAGTTCCAGGATACAGAGGTAGCAAGATTTTGGGAACAATGATGGGGCCTCCTTACACCTAAACCCTGGGCGGGGGACTTGCCTAAAGGAGTGACCAGTATATTTCATGGTAGATGTGCTCAAGCTCCCGTGGAGTATGGGTTTGCTCATCAGCGGGGGACACACGGTCACAGAGGCACTGCAGGATGGAGAGAGGCAGGACTGGGACTGAATTTACAAACTCTCAGATGCTGGCATTGCTGCCTCAGTCACCACAGTCCACGGCCCTGGGCTGCTGGGCTCGTCGTGCATTCAGAGCCATCAGTGGAGCCCATGGCTTTGGGGAGCGCTGTCCTAGATAGCCTAGTTCTGATAATGATAGCAATAGGGAGAGTAATCATAACTGCTATCATGTAATGTGTCACAGCATGTGCTGGGCACAGTGCTGTGTGCATCATATGTGAGCTCAAGTCACCTGTTCACCATCCTCTGAATGAAGCATCATCATCCCTCTTTCTAGGAGGGATCGAGGGCAAAGCTGCAAATACCTGCCCAGCATGGACCCTAGTGCAGGGCCCAAGACCATCCCCTGTGCAGGCTCCACTACCGCTGTGCCAGCTGGACCTCGGCAGAACAGTGCGTGTGCCAGGTTCCTGCAGCTCCCACCCCCAGCCCCATGTGATGTGCCCCTGTCCTTCGCCACTGAGGTCAAGGGGAGGCACTGGGGCACACTCAAATTCCTAAACCCAACCCATGGCTCATGTTGGACCGGGAACCCTCTCTGACCTGGGTGTTCTGTAAACATTGTCATGAAAATGATTGAAAGTAAGGATTGGCTGGACTCACAGGACAGTGAGGGGCAGGAGAGATGAGGCCCCTGAGAGTCTGTCCTGAGTGGCAGCCAGATTAGTGTTGCTGAAAATGTGCCCTTCCATAGCTCAACCCATCGCCTTCAACACCGCCCTGCAAGCTCCCCTTAACAGCATGACCTCCCGGATGGGCTCCGGTGCACCGAGGACACTCACATGAAGAAACAGGAAAGCGCTTCCATGTCCGGACTCTGGGGAAGGTGCCTCCGGGCCAGGGGCTTGTAGCGCTGCCAGAGTCGGAAGTTTTCATACACACTCTTGGGGTTGCAGGAGTCGTCAGGTTGGGCCTTGGCCTGGGAGGGAGCCTGGCTGCCCTCTCCATGAGTCCCTTGTGGCCATGGACAAGCGTTCCTTGGGGCCATCATGGGGGCTGGATGGGGAGCTGGTAGTGCTGGAGGAGGAAGGCCCTGGGGCCAGCCTCCTTCGTAGGCCCAGGTGCCCCCAAAGACCTGGGCAGCCATAGCGGGCACCACAGGGGCAGCTGCCAGGGGTTGGGGAGGTGGACATGCAACACCCTCACAGACGGCACCTAGAGCCTGCAAGACGTGGGGCACCTGAGTTAGGACCAAGGTCTGTGCCTGAAGAGCCTTCACAGGCCCCACTTCTGTCCCCATCTGGACAAGGACGTTGGAAGCCCCAGCCCAATTCAGGCTTCAGCCATCCTGTCCTGCCACCAGAGGCATCCTGGGGAAGGCAAACAGCACCAGAGGGCCACCTAGAGGAACCACTGCAGTCAGCAGGGGCGGCCCGTGTGCTGGGCTGGGAGCAGGTGTGGCGAAGGACAGAGCCATGAACACTGGCATGGAGGCGCCAGGGTTCTCAGGCACGCCCGGTCCCAGCACTGGGTATGCTGTGGAGACAAAGGAAAGAGGTAAATGAGCTGGGGTCTGCAGGTCTGCAGTAGTCACTGGGAATCAGAGGGGTGTCCTACAGCTGAGGGCGTGTGACAGGGAAACTCTGCAGCTTGCAAGTGTCCCTGAGTGTGCATCGGATGCTGTTACTCCTTGGGAGGGTCGCTTCACTAGAGAGCCTGGCCCTGGCTCCTCTAGACTCCCTGATCCCTGTCTGCCAAGAAGCAACAGCCAAGCCTTCGTTGCCTCTGAGTGTCTCCCTCGGGCATCCCTGGCAGACCCTGCCAGGCTTACAGGCATCTCCCAAGCCATGGGTCAGGGATGAATCTCTCGCTGGCTTGGAGGCCCTCAGCATGCTCCACAGCAAGTGAGGGGCCACCCCCAGGGCAGTGCTCCACACTCAGAAGGCCTACAGGAAGCCAGAAGGTTCCTAATATTATGGCCCCATCTCCTCTTCAGTCTTCCTTTTCCTGAAGCTCTTGTAAAGCCCTTTCTTCCCTAACTCAACACGACAAAGGAAAGCCACTGGATAGACCGGGCCTGGTGGTTCACAACTGTAATCCCAGCACTTTGGGAGGCCAAGGCAGGCGGATCACCTGAGGTCAGGAGTTCAAGACCAGCTTGGTCAATGTGGTGAAACCATGTCTCTACTAAAATACAAAACTCAGCTGAGTGTGGTGGCGCATGCCTGTAATCCTAGCTACTCAGGAGTCTGAGGCAGGAGTATTGCTTGAACCAGAAGGCAAAGATAGCAGTGAGCCAAGATTGCACCACTGCATTCTAGCCTAATTGACAGAGGAAGAATCTGTCTCAAAAAAGAAACAATTAAAGAAAACCACTGGATGGAAATCTCTCCCAAGCCAGCACCCTGTGAACTCTGAAGATTACCTACACACGTCATGCCCAGCCTGCAAGTGATTGTCCCAGTACCATGCACAGCAAGTGCTACGCAAGGGTCAGATTTGGGTCACCCTTTCCTCAGTGCTCGGTGGTCCTGGCTGCCACTCAGGAAGCTCTGTTCCCAGGGAGCAGGTCTGAGAAGCAGTGGTGGAGTTCCCTGAGATACTGTCATTGCTCAGCCAGCAACAGCGGCACACGATTAGAGCACAGCCAGCAAGTGGTGAGCAGTGGGGCTGTCAGGGGAGGTGTCCAGGGATTTCCACAGCTGCTGGTCATGTTACAGTAGTTCGTGGGACAATGAGCCCACCTCTGGTCCTTTTCCTTTGAGCTCCCAATAATTGAATATAGTGACCAACCAAAAACCAGAGGTTCTTGGGCCACAGGCCAGGTGGGCAAAGTTGTCTGGAGCTCATCCCTGTTCACTAGGACCTCATGCAGTCTCCAGTCAAGGAAGATAGGGATACAGCACATGCTCCTCATCAGTCAGGACACACATCCTAATTGAATAATAATAATAATTATAATAATAATACGAGGACCCTCTTCTTATTTTTGCGTTACCCTCCTTTCTCTACTGAATAGGAAACCAGTCTTTCCAGACCCTTCTACTGAGAACCAGCAAGAGTCCCCACCTGTCCCCTGTTCATGAGGTAGTAGACTTGGAACAGAAGCAAATCCTTCATCTCCACAGTAACACAAAGTGCAGAGGACAGGCCATGAGCTAGCAGACAAGAGGAAGTGGGTATGAAGACCTGAGTTTCCATAAAGGACGAACAATTCAGAATAAACCGGGAAGCCAAGGCCATGATGCCTGAACTTCCCCAACTGCCCCCACACCTGTTAAATCAAAGCCAACAGCCACCTGAACTGACAGAGAAGCCACCTCTGGGGAGCAGCTGAGAGGTTGCGGCAGTTACAGTAGCCCCAGCCTCGCCCACCCAGGGGCTGTCACTGCATGCTCTGTCACAGTCAACACACCCAACAGTTTTCTGGCTGAGATTATTTCTCCCCACTCCTCCGTAAGATCCAGAAAACTCCAGTCCAAATCCCTCTGAACACTATGGAAGGGCACCTTCCAGGTGCCTGAAGACACAACACAGGGCTCAGACTTGCCTGTCATTCTCCCTGGGCCACCAGCACAACACAGTCCCACCACTCCCTACAAACACACAGTGACGTGACCTGTCCCCTCTAGAAAGAATCAATACATCCACTCCATCCATTCCCTTACATGATGTGTTCCCCCAGGCACCTTGGTCCACCTCTAAGGAGCCATCCTCCCTAACCACAGACCCAGGGTGCCATGGCCCTCCCCAGGTATCGTGTCTTTGGGGACATCCAGTGCTCCCTCCCTCCTCGACATCAGCCCTATCAACTGTCCCTGGGGCAGTGTCAAATTTGAATTCCCAAGGATTTGAAACACGGCAGAGAATTGAATAATGCCCCTGTCCCTACAGAATCACCTCCATTTGAAGCCATTCCCTCAGGCTGGGTGCCGATCACTGCTGTCTGGCAGTTTCCCTGATGAGAAAAGCCAAGGACAGGACCTAGAGAGTGGCCTGCCTCAACAGATTCTCCTGAGTTCAGGTAGATCAGGGAAAATTTGAAAATAAATAGGTTTAGAACATAGGACCCCAGACATTCTGCAGCGGGGGAGGGGCAGTGTAGCAAGTACTGGTAGGGGTGAGGGACATTCTGTGAAGGGCTCCAGCCAATAGGCAAGAACTGAGGTTCATTTCCAGATGGACGGCAGCAGCACAGACGGCATGCGCCTCTTTAGGCAACTTTTAAATTGTACTTCTGACTTGCAGCACAAAGCTTCAACCTGATGTCCCCTTTATTTCCATTCTTTATCGACAGACCTACTTTTGTGCCCCTCAACCCATACTCTTTCCCACTTGGGCTCTTTCCCACTCTTGATGAATCTCAACAGGGGCTGCACTTTCTAAACACAATTTAGGACACTTCCTAAGAAGCCCTGTTTGTCAGGTGATCCATGTCTGGATCCTCTGCCTGATTCAGATGATCCAGGCTATTAGGTGGCTGTGTGCTCATCATTGTTATGGAAGCCATCCTTGTGCCCCCAGGTCGTGTATGTTGCAGGAGTCTGTCCACACCAGCAGGCCAGCCTTACTTCCCATCTCCTTTGCTGGAAAGCCTCAGTCCAGGAAAGAGTGGTTATGCGGCCAGAAAGCCTTTCATTTGGTTTCCCAGCGTATTGTGCTAGTATTAAATGTTTATTTTTTATCTTTTAAATGATTTTAATTTAACCAAGCAATACTTTTGCATGGTTCCAAATTCAAATTGTGCACAGTGGAATAGGCAGTGACCAGTCTTCCTCCCACCTCTCTTCCTGTCCACAACGTTTCCTTTCCTGGAGCAAATGGGTGTTTGCTCCAGGAAAAGATGAGATTGGTGTTTCGAGAGATGAGAATCTTGGCCAGTGATTTCAGAAGAAAATGCAAACAAAAGAAAAACAAGGTTTTCAATTGAAGGTACATCTCTTCTTCAATATGAAGATGTTCATTGAATTGGTTGGATCCCCATGCAGCCCTCAGCGAAGTCCTTTGGCAACTGACAGAACAACATCTGGAGACTCAGGAGCTGTGTTTTGTTTGAAGAAACTTCCCTACAGGAGTCATGAGCGGAGCTAAAGGAGTGTGGGAGAAAGGAGGGGACTCTCAGGGAGGAGTACAAAAGGAGAAAAGAATGTCCTTGGTGAAGAAGAAAATGGAACACTGCTTCTGTTTCTTCCCTCTACCTCCTTCCCTTTCTTCCTATGGATGGACAACTCCAGCCCACTGAGGGCGGAGCTGAGTTTACTCTTGTTCTCCCAATGCATATTGTTTTGTCTTCACTTCTGTTGAACATCACCTTTTTATATTTTTTTATTATATATTTGGTTTCCCATGCCATCTCAAACATGCTTCTGTTACTGAGAAATGAAGGTTGCCTATTCTAAAAAAAAAAAAAAAAGGGAGGAGGTTTGGGAAGGGAAGACACTTTCAGATGGATGAGTGTACACGGTGTTCATTTTCTGAAACACTCCCTGTTGGCACTTACGAAGCATTTGCGCCTTCTGAAGACAACTGGACTCCAGAAGGCAGAGTTGCAGGAAAACATAACTGGGGCCACACTGCAGGGAGGGCAGCGGATTGCAAGTCTCAAGACCAGGGTTCCTCGCTCCTTGCTCCAGTTGTGTGAGAAACTCATTTCCTAACTCCTGTCCAATATGCCTCATGGGTTCTCCGTTTGGTCTCAACTCTAAACCTGAGCATTTCTATGAAATGCCTCCAAAGTGGCCACTGGGAGGGGAGCAACCTCCACGAAGTGCCTGCCTGTCTGGGTGCCCCCAGGCCTTTTGTCGTCTGAGACAGAGCTGCCTTCTTACACGCAGCCCTCTTCTGCTGTGCAGCTCACCTCGATGTTAGCTGAGAAGATCAATGGAGAGCAATTCGAGCAAAACCACGGTAAACTTACCGAAACAAAACAAAAACAACATAAACACTTTGGAGACCTTTCTGAGGACTTGCTCTTTTATCGTAGGGTAAACTTGGATGATTTTCAATCAATCGCTTCATCTCAGAGGGATGTTGATGGAAAACCTCCTACTCAGGCACTGAAGAAGGGCAGAATGCTTGGTTGCTTCCTCCCCTTGTCAAGTCAGTCAGCCGATGCTTTCTCAAGATTCTCATGCACAGCTTTGATACCGGATTTGAATGAGTCTTTTTCTGAGCCACTGATAGAAAAAGTAAACTGTGGAATAGTATCTTGTCTGAATTCTGCAATCCCCTCTGTATGTGTTTGAAGTCCTAGATCCCAGGAGGAGAGACAATCAAATTAGCCAAAGGTAATTTGTGAAGACTGGCCATGGGAGATGGTGGCTAAAAGTCCTCTGGCCCCTGCTCTCTGAGCATAACCACAGGAAGTCCTGGGCCGCACTGACTGCTGAGAAAGAACATCTCAGAGCATGGATCTCATTTCAGAAGACAGATGCTATTCCACCCGATAACAGAAGTTGGGTAGAAGAATGGCGGATCCATGCTGTGTCCTACAGAGCTCTCAGTTTCTGCTCTGGGCCAACGTAGACATGAAGACTCTTCACTTTTATCAGGAGGAGCCAGGAATGATAGGAACCTGCAAATGAGCAGAAAGGATCTGATGATTAAACTTTCTTCTGAAGCTATTAGAAATTCAAGTCGGTGAGTTACTTTGCTCCTAGGTTTTTATTGCCAACTCTAATTCTGCACTATGTTGCAGAGTGGGGTCTGGGGGAGCGGAATTATTCCCTTACTATCTGCTACTTTGTCTACTGAAATTGATCAAAGCTGTAACAAAAACATTTCTAGAAATCATTGAATGGGATAGGAAAAACTGTGGGCATGGAGTCAGAACAAAGTATCTTTTGGAGTTCTTTTTCAGGTCTAAAATTCTTTGCCAGAAGTGTTCTTTAATGGAAACTCCAGACTGGGTAGGAAAACAGGGCATAGTATTTTTTTAAAAAGGCATGGGCAGGAATGAAATAAATGCAGTCCAAAGGGGGAATGCAAGACTTATGCAATCTGAGGAAACTTTGATTTAGGGTAAACCCTCCAAAGGTAAACCTTTCGGCGAGGCTATTAGCTAAGTGCATGGACTGCAGATTTGTATTACTGAAAAATTAGAGCGGTGGTTTGGGACGTGCTGGTTTCTCAGAGGGATGGTCACGGAGGTTCCAATGAGGAGGCGTCGCCTGGCCCCAGGAAGCGCCTAAGTTCCGCGTCTCCATTTGCGCAGCTCTTGCGGGACCCCCCCCACAGCGGACTCCAGGTCGGCCGCGCGCACAGGTGCATCAGCCTCGAGGCAGGCGGGGTTCCGGCACGCCCTCAACGGCGCCCAGTGTCCGTTGCAGGTGGTTGGGGCAGGGACACGCGCAGCACGCGCGGAAATAGCCGTTACCCAACGGCCTTTGCTCTCATGATAGAGAGCCACTGATAGAAAAAGTAAACTGTGGAATAGTAAACTGTGGAAAAGTAAACTGTGGAATAGTAAACTGGAAAAGTAAACTGTGGTGTTACCTAAAAATAAATCTATGTATGATTACTAGGTAATCACCTCCTGGTCATGCTCCCGCTGGTCATCAGTGTCCGTTGGGCAACCCCACCGGGCCTATGGCTGCCCTTAAGGCGGGAGCGTGCGCAGCGGAGACTCTGCAGGACTCCAGACAGCGCTTCTTTCCCTTGCTGGTCTGGCCCTGAAATGAGGGAGGAGGTTTTTTTTTTCTTTTTTTTATGAGACGGTTTCACTTTTGTTACCCAGGCTGGAGTGCAATGGCGCAATCTCCGCTCGCCGAAACCTCCGCCTCCTGGGTTCAGGCAATTCTCCTGTCTCAGCCTCCTGAGCAGCTGAGATTACAGGCACAAGCCACCATGCCCAGCTAATTTTTTGTATTTTTAGTAGAGACGGGGTTTCACCATGTTGACCAGGATGGTCTTGATCTCTTGACCTCGTGATCTACCCGTCTTGGCCTCCCAAAGTGCTGGGATTACAGGCGTGAGTCACTGCGCCCGGCCTTTTTTCCTTTTTCTTTTGGAAGAGTTGGTCACTCTTGTTACCCAGGCTGGAGTGCAATGGCTCATGGCAACCTGAGGGAGGAGGTTTAACAATGCAGTGGGAACCCCAAACTCTCTCCTCCCTGCCTCTCACATTTTGAACAATACAAGAGCTTGAGGAAAACCTTAGCAGTTGAAACTATGTTGCAGTTGAGCAAAGAAGGAGCTCCTGTCCTGGTAAAATCAGTGATGTTCTCAAGGATATCCTCATTGAGTGAGTCGAGAAGCTTGCTGACTTAATCAGAATGATCTCCCAGCATGCATTTTCCAATACTCTCATTTGTCAATGATATGAGTGGCTGCAAAGTCGAAGAACAGGCCTTTAGTCATAGTCTGTTCACCTGTCTTGGCTCACTGCAACCTCTGCCTCCTGGATTCAAGCGATTCTTCTGCCTCAGTCTCCTGAGTAGCTGGGACTACAGGTGCACACCACCACACCCAGCTAATTTTTGTATTTTTAGTAGAGATAGGGATGCACCATATTGGCCAGGGTAGTCTCGAACTCCTGACCTTGTGATCCACGCGCCCCCCCCTTGCCCTCCCAAAGTGCTGGGATTATAGGCGTGAGCCACTTCACCCAGCCTTACATTTATATTATTAAAAAGAGATTCCCCCCAAACTCTATAAGCATCAGGGACCAACTTTGGACATCATTAACTGGTTCCCTGGCCTAAGTCAGTTTACCTATGGACTTACTCTAAGGAAAAGATGTTTTTTTTTTTGTAGGACAGCCCTGCAATACCCATTAGGGTTGTGAGAACAAGGACTCCCATCACTGCTGGTAAGGAGAGCAACAATAACTCTTGGCCTGCAGTAGCATGTATTTACTAAAGCTTTTACCATTTAAATGAATTAACTATCAGTGTGTAAAAAACTATCCCAAACACTTAATGGCTTGAAGCACCAACCATTTTTTTAGCTCCTGAGTGGCTCTGATGATCTGGCCCAGGTCCAGCTGGTTCTAGATGGGGCCAGCTAGTGCCCCATAGTTAGTGTCATCCAATCATCCAATTGGCCAAAGGGTGGCCGCAGCTGAGATGACTCATCTCCTCCCTCCTCCATGGTGTCTCTCATCTTCCAAGAGCTTGTTCAGGTGGCAACTGGGCAGGCTCCAAGAGAGAGAAAGAAGCACATAGGGCTTCTTAAGGTCTAGATTCAGAACTGGCAATCATGACTTCTACTATTTTCTGTTTTCCAAAGCAAGCAAATGTATCTTATTTCTTTTGGCACAGATTTATTACATTTGTAATTATAAACAGCTTTGAGTGGCAATGAACCCTTGCTGGTGGTAATAATAGATTAATACCTCTATGATGGTTATGGTGATAACAGTTGTAGAGTTACAAGGAGAAAAGTCAAGTGTTTAAACAGCATTGTCTTGGCCAAGAAGTGACTAAAACAAAACTACAGTCTTACTTTTGGCACCTTATATGCTATAGTAAAATGAATATTGTCTTTAAATAAGACCTGTCCTGAATTCTACCTCCGGTGTTTATTAACTGTGTGAACTTGGGAATGTTGGTAACATTTCTGAGTCTCAGTTTCACATCTGTATAGCAGAGATATCTGTTTCATAAGATTGTGTTAAATAAGAGTAATTGTACATTAAAATACCTGTCAGCCAGGTGCAGTGACTCATAACTGCAATCCCAGCACTTTGGGAGGCCGAGGCAGGCAGATCACGAGATCAGGAGATCCAGACCATCCTGGCTAACATGGTGAAACCCCTTCTCTACTGAGAACATAAAAAATTAGTCTGGTATGGTGGCAGGCACCTGTAGTCCCAGATACTTGGGAGGCTGAGACAGGAGAATCACTTGAACCTGGGAGGCAGAGGTTGCAACGAGATAGCACCATTGCACTCCAGCCTGGGTTACAGAGTGAGACTCCATCTCAAAAAGTAAAAAAAAAAAAAAAAGCCTGTCTTCTCATGGGTTGGGTTGCCTTTCATTACTTAAACCCAAGGTTTTATTTTGGCATCCTTTTGCCTCTCAAATGTCTTCTGAGATTCAAGTTAGCCATTCTTGTTTTTTAAACTCCAAAGGTCAAAGAAGGTTTCCAGCCTCTATACAGATGAGAGCAATGGAAGCAGTAGCTGTGGTCTTAAGCATTTCCCTGGGCCCTCTTCCTCTAATTTTCTCCTAAACAGCTTCAGCTGATGCTGTGTCCAGGGATTAAATAAAATCTCAGAGATATTAAATTGCCCATAGGCACCAGAGACATTTCTGAGAGCAATGAAGAGCATTCAGCAGGTATTCATATACCAATAATAACATGAAATATTAATAAGATAGTTCAGCTTGTTAAACATTCAACTATGAAATCTCTATTATGTGTCCAGCACTTTATTAGGCACAATGAATTTCAAAAAAAATGTATCTCCACCACACGCTCTACATACTAATTGCAGGTATTAAAGCATGTATCATCTAGTTAACAATATGTGGTATTTTTTGTTAATGAGAAGGAACATTCAATGCTAGAAAATGAGATTGGTATTCTCATACATTAGTTTTGGCATTTTGGCTGGGCTCAGTGGCTCACACCTGTAATCCCAGCACTCTGGGAGGCTGAGGTAAAAGTATTGCTTGAGCTCAGGAGTTCAAGGTCAGCCTGGGCAACATAGCAAGACATCTCTTACAAACCATGTAAGAACCTCTTATTTTTGCCTCCTCCCTTCTGTGGAAACAATAGTTTTTAGGAATAATTTCAATTCATTGCTTTTTTTGACCCCAGCTACTATTATTGAATATACCATCTAAAAATGGCTTAATTGGCTCTTTTTATACTGTAGTGCTTTCAGATCTAGTCTCTAGATATTAATAAGCATTAATTTAAAACACACACAGAGATCTAATGTTGTTGCTGTCTTGCTAAAAATACTCAACACATTTCCTTTGCGTTTTAAGGATAAAAATTTGAATTTTATCCTATTGGTATGATTTGACACGTTCTGACTTTCATCCTTATCTTGATATACACTCCCTCTATCGTTTACTCCAGGTACACAGGCTTCTTTTCAGTTCCTGGAAAACATCAAACTCCTTGCTGATGGGGAGTTTCCTGTTCTAATGCTTGAAATACTGATTTCTCCTCTCACCCCCTTCACCTTTGCTGACTCTTGAACTTGGAAGCTTTCATCATTGCAGTAGCAGGGTGACGTGCAAACCAAGGCCAGGCTGTACATGGAATTCTCCTTCTGTGTAAGTTATCCACCATTGATTTTGATTGTTTGCAGTAGTTAACTCTGAAGGATACAGATTTTCATCTCAAACTAGCCCCAGTATGAATTTACAATTTTCCATCAGCATACTCTTGTATTGTTTAGTTTTAAATTTTATAATGGAACATGTATTTTCTCCCTTTACCTCCATACTAACTTATCCTCTGGTTGAGATTAGGGCAGATGGTTCTCACCACTCTTATTTCACAATGCCAAGTGAAATGTCTTGGTTTCTGATCCATAGGAGACAGAAGACAGCATAAGTAAGGTGACTAGCATAATTCTGAGCTTGCCGATCAGAATCTTTTACACCTAGAATAAGGCAAGAGGTATTCCATTTGTTACCATATCACATCAAAGAGCACATCACCAGAAACCTGTGTCCAGCTCTTCTTGACATCACATACTCTACACTCCCATCAGCGTGTCTGACTTTGGAGGTGTACCTGCAGACAGGTGGAGCAGAAAGAATCAAGGGAAACAGGCAAGTGGTTCCTTTTGTTACTTACCATATTAAATATAAATCTAAAGACAAAGATAAATCTAATCTTGGACAAACCTACCATACCTTTGATCAGTTGGGCCCCTCTGGGATTTGGATTTGAATACATGAATATATCTGGAGGGCATGCAACCTCCGCCCCCACCCACCCCCGCTGGGGTTCAAGCAATTCTCCTGCCTCAGCCTCCCTAGTAGCTGGGATTATAGGCACCTGCTACTGCACCCAGCTTATTTTTGTATTTTTAGTAGAGATGGGGTTTCACCTTCTTGGCCAAGCTGTCCTTGAACTCCTGACCTTGTGATCCACCCGTCTTGGCCTCCCAAAGTGCCGGGATTATAGGCAGGAGCCACTGTGCCTGGCTGTGACATTTTCAATTCCATAAGTTAAGTTTGGTTCTTTCTTAAAATGGTTATGTCAGTTTTTAACTTTTAGATTATTTTACTGGCTTCCTTGGATTGGGTTTTAACTTTCTCCTGAAACTTGTTGAGCTTCCTTGCCATCTAGATTCTGAATTCTCTGTCATTTCAGCCATTTCAATCTGGGGAGCTAGTGTGATTTTTTGGAGGTAAAGAGGCACTCTATTTGAATTGCCAGCGTTTTGTACTGATTCTCATCTGAGAGGGCTGATGTTCCTCTATTTTATTGGAGTTGCTGTCATTGGATGTGGCTTTTTGTTTTTATATCTTTACTTCCATCGAAGGTTTGACTGTGGGGTATGTTGAGTATAGTTGATAGGCTTAGTTTCTGGGTGCTTTTAGATTCCTGCATTGGCATTCACAGGTGATGTGCGCTAAAGGCATTTTCATTTGGTGGTGTAATGAAAGCCGTAATCCAGTAGACAGCGCTTGAGTGTAAGGGTCAGCAGATAGGCTTTCTGCCACATGTCTCCTTTGTATTTCAGCATGTTTGCAGCAGTATTTTTGGCGGCATGGGGAACTGAGGAGGGACAGTGAGAGATGACCCCCTCACTTAGTACATTCTCAGGATTTAGGAAAGCCCTGCCAATCACCGGCACTGCACCCATATTTCCTTAGCCCCAAGGGGGGCTCTGGCAGGCTGCACTCCCACCTCCCTTAGGGGCAGCCTGAGCTGAAGGTTAGATCTCCAGAAGACGTGAAGCTCCCCAAGGGCCCACTGATCGCTGTGCTTGGCAGAGTCTGAGCAGGTTGTGGGTTATATCTGCAGGTGTCTGTGGATGCAGTGGGTCAAGGGTGGAAGATCCCTGGGGAGGGCGGTGTTGCTGTGAGTGTGTAGCTGGTGTGGCACCTGCAGCCCAGGGTTTTTTGCCCAGCAGATGGTTGTGGGAACCACCCAGATTGTGCTATCCAGATTGGGTCTCCTGGTGTTTGCCCTGGTAGCTGGCTCAGCCAGTAGTTTTGTCCCAAGCCTTCTGCACTAGATCTCTGGGTTGTTAAGTGCTCTGGGCTTTGGGACACCCTTGGGCAGAGGCTGCAGCTGGCAAATAAACTACATCCTTTTTATACCAGTGTTGCAGGGGGAGGCAGGCCTGGCTTTCACACTAGCTCATGAACCTGTGCCTCACTATTCTCAGTGTTCTGAGAATGGAGGCTCCTCTCTTGCTGGAGCTCCAGTCACAGATGTCAGCTCAATACTCCCGAGCTATGTGTTCACAAACTGGGGGCTTGGGACTGGGCCTGCAGCTTTGTCCTCTTGCGGTTGAGCACTGGCTGTGCTGAGGGGGGCCAAAGTGTTCCCAGGCAAGGCAGCAGAGGCTGTGCTTTGTGCATGCTCTTGCAGGAGAATGTTGAGAAACATTAAGTTTACCCTGCCCCCATAGCTCCTTTGTGAAGGATACCTTTTAGTTTGTAATTAGTGGTAGGTGGGTAGCAGCCGCCTACTTGGTATATTCTTGGGTTATATGTATATGGAGAACACCTGTGTATTGATAAGGCTCACCTGTCAAAGAGCAAATAAATACGTGGATGAGAATCTGCTGAGGGCCTTCAGCTTGGGGAGCTGTCAGCCCTAGAGACTCTCAGGCTGTTGGTCCCCAGGACAGGTCCACTCTGTTGTGCCGTCTGGGTGTCTGCCTCTCAATACCTTCAGCACTGCCTGGGAGAGGGTCTCCCGACGGAGCTGGTTCTTGGTAGGAGAAGGGCCTTGGGAGGGGCCAGTGGATGTGGAGCAGGGGGTAGGGGGAGTGGGGGGAGATCAGATGCACCTTGGTCCCACAGGAAAGACAGCCCTGCTCTCTCCTGGACCCGACAGTGAGCACGAGCTAGAGCCACTCAGAGCAAGATGGGGTGCCTTGGAGGATGGGTGCCTTTGATTGTGTTTTGCTGCAGCTTCCCTGCAACACAAAACCTTCTGGCTCCATGCAGGCCTGAGCTCTGCTTCTGTCTACTTTCCGGGCAGTTACCCCTGCCAATGAAAAACTCTGGGGTCATGGAATCTCTTGTGGCTAGGATCGCAAAATCTATTAATTAACTAATCTCTATTCTTCCTACACATTCTCTTTTTTATCTTTAACCTCTTTATGCCCATCACAGTGCAAAGAACAGTTTAATACAGAGAAGATGCTCAATAAATGTTTGCACAGTAAATGAAAATACTTCTTGATTTGCCAAAGGATTCCTTCAAATTGTTTGTTCCTTTGGTGCATTGGTTTTCAAAATTTTCAGCTGTGAATAAACCTTTTCTCAAATGCAGTCTTACCTGAGACTCTATTTGCAAAATGTAAAAGCTCAGGTGCTCTAGTCGGAGAGGACAGGCAGGGAGATTGGGGGTCTGAAGCTGTGCATGCTCACTCCCTCCTTTCCCTACTTTTGTGATGGAGTTTCTGTGCTGTACACTTGGCATGTCAAGGCACATTAAAAATGCGATTTTAGTCATTACATTTATTAAACACAACTTTTGAGGCTCCCATCACTTGCGTTTAGACACCTGAATATCAGTCTTATTCTCATTTCTGGAGTTGTTCACATTGTTGACATTTACTGCCATGAGTGGGTAGATTTTCTATTTTGGTCAGCTTCAATAGGAAGTATAACAATCAAACACAAAGTGGTGTGTGAACTCTTCTCCTGCTTGAGAAGGGTTGGCAGGGCAACGAGGAGCCGTTCTCCTCAGGTCTCAGGATATAGGCAAATAGTGATAAATATATTGTCATACATGAGAAAGAAGAGTCACTTCCATTAATCTCATGCTTTTGCTGATGGCTGAACACAAAACTCTCTGCACGCGTTGTTTCCTAAATCCTCAAAGACATTCTATTATGCCAAAAAAAGCCTCATCAAACCTAGCTTTCTTTGCTTTCCTATTAAGCCACCAGTGACTGCCTAGGATGAATTTGGATGATGTTATTTGCTGGTTGCCAGGTTCCCTCCCGTTCCCTCTTGTCACCACTTTCATTTGTTCCTTGCTTTTTGCTCCTGCTGCATTTCCTTTGTTGGGATGCCTGATGAGTATTTGAAATTCTTGTGTCAGATTTACAAGAGCCTAGGTTACCTTTAGTGCTTCAAGACAATAGAAACCAACAGAAATTCATCTAAATCCCCTCCCAGAAAACTAAGGAGACACATCTGTTGGAAGCTCCAGTAGTCTTTCCTCAACTCTCTCCATTGAAATTAGGTTAGTATCAAAAGATGATTTATTAAAACTGAATCAACTTTTTCCATTGCCCACAATGGCTCTTCCAAAGTTCATCAGTTTCCTCAAGCTTCCAACCTTACATCTCCCTGCCTCTGCAGAAAGTCTTGTTGCTACTGCTTCTAAAAAGACAGAACAGGCAAGAACACATGCCTGAAAGTTTTATCCCTCTCACCTCCAGATTTGTTTGTCTTATTTATATTTACCTTATTTTTTCTACTTCTTGAAGAGAAGGGTTCTCTTGAGTGGCTGGACTACAGGCACACATCACCACTCCTGGCTAATTTAAAAATTTTTTATAGCGATGGGGTCTCACGATGTCACCCAGGCCACTCACTCTTGAACTCCTGGGCTCAAGTGATCTTCCCACCTTGGCCTCCCAAAATGGTGGGATTACAGGCGTAAGACACTGCAACTGGCTTGTAATGTATATTTTGCCAGCATTCTTTGTTGTTTTCAGTAGGAGAGTCCATCAAGAAATCCAGTCTGAGAATCTGCTGCAAACAGAAGCTTCTTTTTTTTTTTTCCAGAATACTTTCTCCTAGGCTTATTAGTATGGCAAGATGGAATTTTTACCTTGCTCCTTATAGTCCTTTTTATTCCCCCAGGTAGAAGCCTTTGGTCTTTTATGAGACAGAGTGAAGAGACAGAAATTCTGTAAACATATTATTTATAAAAATTATGCTTATGCTTTGTGAGGTCCCCATTATGAGCAAAAGAACCTTTTTGCCCTCAAACCTCACACTCTCTTGAGCTCTAATCCTTCATGTTCACTTACCTAATGAACATTTCAATGTAATTAGCCCTCAAACTCAACGTCTTTCAAATGAAACCATTTTCTCCATCCAATTCTGCTTCTCTTCTTGTATTCTCTACTTCACTTAGGAGTTCTACTGTCCAGCCACTCAACCAGACACCATATGTTAGCACTGGGACTCTTTTTCATGGACTGGTCATTTTCCTGGGGTGTTTTGGGTGTCAGTTGCCATTTTGATGTCACAGCATATATATGTGTTCTGGTTTTCTGTTTGGCTTGTCACAGTCTTACTGATTATAGCGCATTGCAGAAACTGTTGGGCTTCTCAGAAGCCAGCTTAGGCCTTTTGAACTCTAAAGATCTTCCCATTCACTTTTTCACCCTTGTAACAGTGCTCCCTAATACATCTGCTGATAAACACTGGCACAATCTATTTATTTGATCCATACTCATTTTCCCGCATATGGAGACAAGCACCGTTATCCAATAGAGAAGTCTGGGTATGTGTATATGATTAAGATTGTTAAGCTCTATGTTCATTTTGGTGCCATGCTTTCTCTATGAACTCCAAATAACTTATCTTCAATTTCCCTTTAGCCTTGTTTTCACTGGTCTGGGTATGTCATGCTATAAGATTAACCATACTTTACCTGCACAGCCTTATTTGATCTGTTTGCACTGACTTACCATCCCACATCCAGCCACCAGTCCCTGTCAGTTCTCTCCCCTACATATCTCTTGAATGCCTCTTAAATTATGGCATCTCTTTTTCACTTTCATTTATTTCATATGCCAATACCCATTGTATCTCTCTTAGATTTCTACAACAAGCTCCCAACGGATCTTCCTTCAGATTTCCACCAAACATCAAATGGTACTTACTGCATCCAAAGTGATCTTTCCAACATGTAAATTGGATCACATTGGATGTCTTTTTCAATCACTGAGGCAGAGTTTTTACTGGAAGGTGTCTCCTTCCACAACTGGCATCTGCTGTTGGCATCTGTACACTCTCCTGAAGACAGATACTGGAAACATCTCAATCCACTTAAGTGTGCTCTATTATCCACTGAAATTCCTGGGTTGCTTTGTGTATCAAATGACCTTGTATTTGCTATTCCTCAAATCTTTGCCTTAGCATTAAGTTGCAAAAATGGAAGCCAATCTGATTATAGTTGCACTCTTGTGTGAAGAGCCACACAGAGGCAGGCATCTGCAGGAGCAATATTTTTTCTCCTTTTTAGAGATACTTCCCTGCATGTAGAATATATTTCTCCCCGTGGCTATAGAATAATATCTAGGTTGATCACTACTAATCCATTTGTCTTAAAAGCAAGTAACTCTGTATTGTCTTTTACTTGTTGTTTTTTTTTTTTTTCTCCACAAAGGTAGAGTAATGGCCAGGCGTGCTTGCTCACATGTGTAATCTTAGCAACTTGGGAGGCTGAAATGAGAGGATGGCTTCAGGCCAGATGTTTAAGACTAGCCTGGGCCGGACAGCAAGATCATGTGTCTACAAAGGAATAATAAAAACTTAGCTGGGCCTGGTGGCACATGCCTATAGTCCTAGCTACTGGGTAGGCTGAGGCAGGAGGATCACTTGGGCTCAGGAGTCCACGGCCGCAGCAAGCTACGATCGCACCACTGCACTCCAGCACTCTAGCCTGCGTGGTAGAATGAGACACTGACTCTTAAAGCAAAAAAAGGAACAGTGATTTGGAGGAAACTCTGAGAAAGCTTTAAGAGAACACTTTTCTTTAGCCCTTAGCCTAACTACTCCCATTTGCTAGTCTCGTAGAAGCTTAGAATTATCTTTCAAACTCAGTAAACATTTTGATTAATTTCCTTTTGTTATTCTGAATCTCCTCCAAGTTCTGCTCCTAAGAAGTACTTCGTTGCTTCATATTGATAACTCAATTTCATTCTCAACTCAAAGCCTTCCAGTCAATATATTCTAACTTCTTTATCTCTTTTTTAAACACTTTAGCAACTGGTGTCTTGTTTTACCCCTAGACAACAATTTCAGATGGTAGGTAGATGGTATGGATACTGGTGTTAGTTTTGTGTAGGAAGACAACAGAAATGGGAGCACTGTGTGTGTATGCCCAAGGTGAAATAGATATCAAGGGTGAGTTTCAAATATTTTCACCAAGAGGGAGCAGAAAAACTATCCATACAATAAAAAGAAAAAGAAAAGGAAAGGGAAAATAATGAGCACCAACAATTTCCAGTAGAGCTAACAGAAATTTTTTAAATGCTTGAATATGTGTTTCTAAAACAACTAAGCAAGCCTGTGAATTGATCTAAAATTTACATCATTTGATCTAAAATTTGAATCAATTCAAAGGCTTGCTTGGTTGTTTTAGAAACACATATTCATGCTCAGATCTCTTAATGCCCATGCTAGTTGTGTGTGCTTTAGGCAACTTGCTTCCATCTGTAAACCAAAATTGTGAATCTGACCATTTCTTAAAATATCAGATAACTGTTAGGTGAAAAAAAAGCACCTCACAAAAATTTTACTTTTGAATTCTAAGCCAGGGTGAAATTTAATCGCAGTTATAAATCCTCCAAGCAAGGATTTATCTGGAATTGCCGACATTACCCCAAGTTCAGCAATGCAAATGACACTGCTATAATATAAGAAATAAGAAAGCTTTCAGTATGTTGTCTAAGAACTTGAGCACATTGAAAGTGATTTATGAGCCAGCAGACTAAACATTTAAATGCCTTTCCTAGCAATGGTATATTTTTCAATACAGCAAGCATTCTCATATATGATTCTACATTCCATGACAGCACTGCTCCTGACAATATAAGCCCTTTCTGATAGGGTAACATTTCCAATCCAAGATTAAAATCTTGGAAACTTGTCAACAGAAAAGGATGATAATATGAGCAAAACTGCAGCTATCAAAGAAAAATGCCTTGCAAGTAATTTCTGTAATGGTCAACTTGCAGTAATTTTATCTTCCCCCTTCACTGTTAAGTAGAGGGGTTGGCCTGAAGGTCATTTTAATATTTTGAATAAGTACAGTTACAAAGCAGAGATTCATGAACACAGGAAAAAGAGTCATTTAATACCACAAAATCAACTTTTTACATTGCCTTGCTTATTTCCATTTCGAATGCAGACTCTAGGGAATGTTTTCTTTTAATAAATGGTGGTTTAAGCAATGAGTTGACAATAAACTCTTGAACTTCATGAGGCACTAAAAATTAGAGGCTCAGAGAGTCTTAAGTTTTCTTCGGTATATTTTCATAATTTTTTCTGTGCTATTTTACTTAATCTTGCACTACTCTAGAGACTAGAACTGAATGACCTACTAGGACTTTGCAATTTTTTTTCTTCTTACAATTCTCTTTTTCTGTTTAGAATGTGGGTGATCTTTCTAATCTTTGGTGTGCCTTTGGCTATATTGTGGGTAAATTGGGATGATTCTTAGTTTTACCAGCTGCACAGAATGAAGTATGAAAAGGCATTTGTAGGCCAAAGAGCGTAGCTGACAAAGTTGAGACCATTTGTACGTTTTTATTACTGCTATCTTTCTAAAATATGTTATTTTCATCATATGCTATAGAAGCTAAAGCAGACTTTAAGTTCTAATTTTTAATTCTTTCTTCAGTTATACTTATCTTTGTTTCTTTAATGGTTTTTTTTTCCTGGAATACACAGTGTTTCTCTTATCACTGCTTGGAATATTTCAAATCACAAATATACACACATGTATTCAAATCACAATATACATATGAACATAAACACACATATATGTAGTCATGCACTGCGTAACAGCCGTTCCATCAATGATGAGCTGCATATATGACAGTGATCTGATAAGATTATAATACCATTTTTTTACTGTACTGTTTCTATGTTTAGATATGTTTATATACATAATTATTTACCATTGTGTTATAATTGCCTGCAGTATTCAGTAATGTAATAGGTTTGTAACTTAGGAGCAATAGGCTATATCATGTAACCTAGGTGTGTAGTAGGATGTATACCATCTAGGTTTGTGTAGGTACACTCTACGATGTTTGCAGGGCAACAAAATCACCTAATAATGCATTTTTCAGAAAGTATTCCCGTTGTTAAGCAGTGTATGACTGTATGTACACACACAGTCATGCACATATAAACACACACACACACGCTCTGCTTTTTTTTTTTTTTGAGACGCAGTTTCGCTTTTGTTACCTAGGCTGGAGTGCAATGGTGCGATCTCGGCTCACCGCAACCTCCGCCTCTTGGGTTCAGGCAATTCTCCTGCCTCAGCGTCCTGAGTAGCTGGGATTACAGGAATGCACCACCATGCCCAGCTAATTTTTTGTATTTTTAGTAGAGACGGGGTTTCACCATGTTAACCAGGATGGTCTCGATCTCTTGACCTCGTGATCCACCAGCCTCGGCCTCCCAAAGTGCTGGGATTACAGGCGTGAACCACCGCGCCTGGCCCCACACTGTGCTTTTTTATTTCAGAACTTAAATTTGCATTTATATGTTAATAAGTCAAGAATTATTCAGCATATAATTATTAGCCATCTACTATCCTCTGCCAGCCCTATGCTGTGCTCTGGGGGATATCAGTTGTAAATCAGACATGTTCTACAGACATGTAAGTCAGACACTTGGTTCAGGGAGCTCATGATCTGATAAAGGAGCTAGACGTGTCAGTCAGCTATCATACTTCAAAGTGATACTCCTAGAAAGGCATAAGCAGAGATGGGAATGGAGGCTCATAAGATCATTGAACTGAGTTTCAGGGATAGAGAACTCTTCTAAAAAATATGGTTCTTGCATCGCAGCATCGTCACCACATGGGAACTTTTAAAAAGTGGAAATTCTCAGGCCCCATCCCAGACCTATTAAATCGAAAACTCTAGGGATGAGTCTTCCATCTGTTTTGTAAAAAGTCCTCTGAGTGATTCTGATACAGGCTCAAGTTCTCAAACCATTGTCCCGGGGGAAGTAACAACTTTGTAAGAAAATGATGCTCTATTTACCATCAGACTTGTTTACATAATTGATACCTCTTGATAATTAAGTCATCTGTTAAGATCTCCCATTGTTTTATTTGTCTCTAAACTATAAAACAAAAGCAAGAAAGAAAAAGGGGAAAAAAGAAACAGCTTCCATTTCTAACAAATGTTACTTACACTATATTCAGAACAAATTTAAATAGCTTAAAGGTAAAAATCAGGCAAATAACTAATTAGAGTTACACAATGCAAAGAAACACCATTAACAACAATAACAACAAGTTTCTTTTGAAAATGAAATAGGCGGGACTGACCAAATTAATCAATCCTGTTTTCCTACAGTGCTACTTTGCTTTGTGAATGTGAGAACATCTGCATCCTAGCACCCAATATTTTGGAGCACTCTTTTGAGATATCTCTAAGAGATGATAGAGCAATTAATTTTCATTCTCATTCCTATGGAGTAAGAGCAGAATTCACTCTCTTCTTACCCTGTACTCTTTGCTTCCTGGGAGTAAAGGCAAATGGAAGAAAAGGAAACATGGCTAAACAATTAGAGCTGAACTAATTTAATGATCTTTTGATCTTTTATATTATAGTTCTTCATTATTATTAACACTTGATAGTCCTTATTTTTATGAGTATATGTGTATTTTCATGTATAAGAATGAACAATATAAAATTACTGTGAATTGTTTTATAAAGAATTCTTTGAAAATTAAATTGGTATCTTAAAAATCAAAATCCGAAAGGTGTTCATTGAATGGTAGCAATATGAAATTGTTTCAAAACTGTCATAAACATTATGCTATATTTTTATCTTATTAAAATATTATTTATCATCTAATCTGCCATTATAACAATTTAGATAGGTCATCTTACAAATCATTTCATGAAATATCATTAGTTAGCTAGTGGGTCTAAGTTCTATACAGTAGAGCTTCCAAATATCTCTCATCATTATTAAAAATATACTCACGTACCTATAACAATATTAATAATATTCTTAATCTGTTCTTCTCATCCTGATTTATTTTAAGCTCCTATCATCTCTTGGGCTTTTTCAGTATTTGCTAACTTGACTCCCAACCTTCTTGTCTTATCCCCTGACCCCATTCAAACTACCTCACCACCAGATTTATTTCTCTAGCATGCATATAAATAATATTATTCCCATAATTATAATGTTTTAGGGACCTTTTCTGAAGTAAAGGCTTTCATAGTCTAATCTTTGTCAATTTGTTGTTTTCATCTTCGCACAGTACCAATTTACCTATTTCTTAAAGCTATATACAATCATTTGAAATTTTTTGGATTTGCTTACTCTTTTCTTGGTTCTGTGAGTTTGAGGCTGCAGTTTCCTCTATCCAAAATTCCCTCCCCTCCCTGGAATGCCTAAACAACTCATCATTCAACAATAGGCAACATGCCTTTTTCGAAGGTGTTCTACCTCCTCCAGTAAACTAGACCCTTCGTATTTGTCTCTGTATAGTTGTATAAATTATTTGTGTATACAAATACATATGGCAAAAATATGTGACTAGAGTATACACACATCTTTAAGATAATGCTGGCTGGGTGCAGTAGCTCATGCCTGTAATCCCTGCACTTTGGGAGGCCGAGGCAGGTGAATCATGAGGTCAGGAGTTCAAGACCAGCCTGTCCAAAATGGTGAATGCCTGTCTTTACTCAAAATACAAAAAAAAAAAGGCGGCTGGACATGGTGGTGGGAGCCTGTAATCCCAGCTGCTTGGGAGGCTGAGGCAGGAGAATCCCTTGAACCAGGGCGGCAGAGGTTGCAGTGAGCTGAGATCAAGCTGCTGCACTCCAGTCTGGGTGATAGAGTGCAACTCTGCCTCAAAAAAAAAAAAAAAAAAAAAGATGATGCTATCTTTGGGTAGTGAAGAAAAAAGTTACTGTATTTATAATGACTACTGTATTTGTAATAATACATTTCTTAAAAAATAATCTGAAGCCCACATCCCACATCACAGCATGTTCAGATTAGACAAACTTGGGTAGTGGTTATATGAATGTTCATTCAAAATTTTTTTCTGTACTTTGTAATAAGTTTACACTATGTCTTGATTTAAAATAAATTGAAAAATAAAATAGCTGACAGTTAACTTATGGAATAGATAATCAAGAGAGTTTGTAGAATCTTTTCTTTGATAGACTATAGAATGTTTGATTAGGAAAGAAAGTTTTAAGGTTATGAGTTATGGGTTCCCCACTCACTCTGTATTTGTGTTCCAGTCCACACTTCAGCACCTCCATTTACAGGAAACCACCAAAGGTAGCCCATCTGGAACTCCTGCTGTGACCCACATCTTCTTGGAGGTTGTTAATGTAGTCATGGGTTCTCTCTTTTCTTTCCTTCTTTTTTTTTTTTGGTTCTCTCTTTTCATTGCTTCATTCTGTCTTCTCCATATGATTTTATTGATGTCTCATCATCCTCTTGATTGCTGTTTTTGGGATACTATATAGAGAAGTTGTCCCTATCCTTTTTGGCACTAGGGACTGGTTTCATGGAGAACAGTTTTTCCATGGACAGTGGTGGGGGTGGGGGGATGGTTTTGGGATGAAACTATTCTATCTCAGATCATTAGGCATTAATTAGATTCTCATAAGGAGCATGCAACCTAGATTCCTTGCATGAGCAGTTACACAATAAGGTTTGTGTTTCTATGGGAATCTAGTGCTGCTGCTGATCTGACAGGAGGTGGAGCTCAGTTGGTAATGCTCCTTTGCCTACCGCTCACCTCCTGCTGTGCAGCCTGGTTCCTAACAGGCATGGACAAGTACCAGTCCGTGAGTCTCTCAATGTGTGGAGTCCAAAAATGAACATATGCTATATAGAGAAGAACAGAAGCACTGCTTGACTTATTTTAGACACTGTACTTGTCTGACATTATCTCAGGTTTACATTGAGGATTCTGAAAGCAAAATCACACAAATGGATCATTTGAAGGCTGCTGCTGCCAAGTCTGGTTTCTTCCAGGCTGTATTTTTACAATTAAATCCCTAGCGTTTAACATGGTGGCTAATACAAAAGATTAAAAATATCTTAATTGAATTAAAATGTTTCATTGAATCATGACTCATTAATTCTACTGGATACTAATATTCCATTGGTTATAAGTCTGTAATTATAATATCATTCAGTCTGCTTTTTCCCCATCTTGCCCTCAAGAGTGTCATGAGAGAACTTGTCAAAAGGTTGTCTGAAATCTAGATACACTATTTCTACTCTATTTCTCTGATCTCCCAGTGTAGTAACTCTGTCAGTAGGAAATGAGGTTAATCTGACAGGACTATTCTAGTGAGCTCATGCTGAGTTTACCACTTTCTTTTCTAAGTACTCACAAGGCATTGTTTTTTAAAAAAATCTTTCAAGAATCTTGCCTGGGATCAATGTCAAGCTCAGTGCTCTGTAGTTCACAAACATAAATTTGTCCTTTTTTTTTTATAATTCCAAATGACACTTGTTTGTATCCAGTTTTCCAGAAACTCTTTTCCACTGTGGGATTCCTTCAGTTTGATGACAGCAATTCAGCCGTAGCTACAAACTCTCTGAGTGTATCGACACACACTCCTCAGGCAAGAGGCTAGGAATCATTTGGAGCAGCTCCCTTTAATCTCTTCAGCTATTTAAGATACTTTTTTCATTGATGTGAGAAGAGAATAGAAAGCTGATTAGCCCAAACTGTAGCTGTGGTCCTGATTGGCTTGATGGCCAATATCAAAGTGAATCAAGTCAAGTAAACAATGTGTTATTAACGGTTTGGAAGCCAATGCAGAGCTGTGCTAGGTGCTTGGAGAATGCAATAAAACTAAGAGTAAAGATAAAACCCCACACTTATAAATCTGATAGTTAAGCTGGGGAAAGTAAAACTTGTAATGCCCTAACCCATTAAGTTTAATTTGGGAGCAAAGCTGAGCTTCAAAGAACAAAACTCTTGCCATCAATAGGAATTTAAAAATAAGTTATCTACTTATATTTTTTGGATACTATCGAGTATACCCAGAGGCTCTAAAGTACTCTTTATAATTTCCTGCATTCCTTTCCTGCACTTCTTTCACATACAGCCCCTGAAAATCTCCAGCTTTCCGGAGAATCTCTACACTCCTTTTGTATGTCTTCTCATCTCTTCTCTTTCTGACCATCCATCTCAAAAGGCTTCAAACTGGTCTGCAAGATGTCTCCTGTTGGAGGAAGGGGTCAGGGAAGATATTGAAGGAGGCTGAGACAAATTTCTCATTAGTAGCATAGAATGAATACTGAGAATACACATAGGTTAATACTTTTTATTCTTCCATATTTTACTTAATAAAAACATGACATCAGATAATATACATAAAGAGTGAATTATGTGGCAGGTAGTAATTTGTAGAAAAATGAAAAATCAACCTATCTTCAGTAAGTCAAGGCATTTTGCATGGAGGATTTTGAACTGGCAGAGAAGGGAGAAAGTGTATTAAAGATTTTTTGAGGGTTGCAATATAGCTATAGTGTCTATTGGCTGCTTCAGTGACTAGAGATTGAGTCTGAGTATAGGCTAAGATAAACCTTCATTTGTGGCAAAGTTGGTATTTGAGTTAAGATATGGTATGCCGTTAGGAGAAGGAAGGGGCAATGGTCTGCTGCTAGGCCAGACAGTTGTGTTACCAAGATTGATGGGAGGGCATAAAGTGGGACTGGAAAGCAGACAGCAGGGAGAGTGGCTGATAGAAACAGTGCCTTGGACCTGCGGATCTTTCCACATGTTCTGTCCTATGTTAAGGGCTTCCCATTTATTGAACATTTACTTTGTGCCACAAATGCTGCTGGATACTTTAGATAGCTCTTCATCATTCCTCCATGATCCTGTAAAATAGATGGTATGGTCATCATTTTACTTGTGAGAAAACTGAGCTCAGAGAGGTGAAGTCATTTGCTGAAGCTTCCATATTACTGCTGAATGGCAAAGTCAGAATTTAAACTCAGATAAATCTGATTTCAAAAGTATTCCCTTTCTATTGAATGATGTTGTCTAGATGAAAATTAATCAAGATGCAAAAAGACTTCTCCTTTTGTCCTTGTAAAACATCTCGTAATCAAAAGACGAGGCTAGATTTTATGCCATCTTGCCAGTAGATTGCTATGTTCTGCTAGTTTTATTAAATATATTTTTCCTTCATATGTTACAGAATAAGTGTAGTATAACTGTTTCAGTGAAGTAATGTTACTGAAGTACAGTATACAGAAAACATGTATTTTCACATTAACATTCTATTTGGGAGTTAATAATATCAGAAAAGTGAAATCTGCAAAGATATCTCTTTGCTACCTGATTGTTTACTGCACTAGAGCAATTCTTGGTGAATGCCTGGCCTTTGGCTGAACTGAGCTTTCTAGTTATTAATGCAACAGGTGCTACAAAATGAGGCCCATGAACTAAAGGCCGATTTTAGTGCAGAGGATAAAATGTGAAGCAATAGAAATCTCAGGAGAGGACATGGTATATAGCGATACAGTGTCCCTGCAAACAACAGACACACAATGCTGAGCAAGGGCTCTTCTAAAATGCTCTGGCTGTTAATCCAATCGGAACCCTGAACTCTAAATTAAAGCAGGAAAAGAACAGCAGAAAGACAAAGTACCCATGACCTAGAGCAGAGAGGTCCTGAGAGAGAACATTGCAGAAGCAATAAGCATCTTTTTCTTTTCGTTTCTACTTGCTGTCATTTCTTTACAGGGATTTAGAATGCCTGGTTGGAATAACTTGAGTAAAAGCATGCAGATGTGTGAGTGGGGAATGAGATTTTGGAAGGACATGGACTGGAAGCAACTTGCAATGCTGGGATATTCCTGTGTAGACGTAAAGGAGGTGTGTGTGCAATGTGAATATGTGTGTGTGCACGTATGCGTGCACGCATTTACAAGGTTTTCTTGTAATTTGCTTTACTCAAAGTCTATAAATCTAGAAAGTACCCTCACAGCAACATCTATACTGGTGTTTGAATAGGCTCAAAGTCAAGCAGGACTATGTGTAAATGATTGCTTCATTTTTATGTACACAGAATCCTTTCCTTAAGTCCTGTAATAGCTCCATCTTTTCTTTTGGTTGCTGAGATGTTCCCTGGTTCTTCTTCAGGTATGGTCTCCTTCTTGCAGCAAGTTAATAAGGAGCATCCCTGATGATCTTTATTTGATGGTCTGTAACAGCATAGTCTCAATATTTAGTTACTGAATAAATGGGCATAGGAATCAGGAATTGCGGATTTTGCACCTACCTCTATGTTGAGTGAGAGACCCTGAGCAATAGAGCAGATATTTAAAGTGTGGGATCTGTGTCAAGGCTCACTGGCATGGATGCTTCCTAATGGCGGGACCTTAGACAGATCCTCTGAGACCTATGAACTGTTAGTTTTCTTCTTTATTAAAAGTGGGCACTAATATTGCCAATTTAATAAGGAAGTTGTTGAACTAAATAAGATGAAGAGACTATGATGTTTAATAATCTGTGTCAATTTGACTAAGCTATGGCATCTAGTGATTTTGTAAAAAACTAGTCTAGATATTGCTGTGAAGGTATTTTTCAGACCTGTAGACTTTTGAAAACAAAGCAGATTACCATAATGTAGGTGAGCCTCATTCAATCAGGTGACGGCCATAAGAGCAAAGACTGAGGTTTCCTGAAGAAAAAGCAATTCTTTCTCAATACTGCAACAGAGAAACCCTGCCTGAGTTTCCAACCTGCAGATTTCAGACTCAAGAGTGCAACATGAACTCTTACCTGACTTTTAGCCTGCCACACTGCTCTACAGATTTCAGATTTACCAATAACTTACATGCTGATTCCTTAAACACTTCTCTCTGTATCTCTCTTTCTCTAACATATATACACACATAGCTCATATATACATACACACACACATGCACATATGGAGAGAGAGAGAGAGAGATTGCATACACGCACATTTCTCTGAAGAACCTTGACTAACACAGGATATAAAGCACTTGGCACATTTCTTCCTGGCACACAGGTGTCCATTTTATGAGAAACTGTTATTAGTAAGCTTCCTGAATCTAAGATTCCTCATTTATACAATAAGGGGGTTGAGCCAGTAATCTCTGGGATATGATCCAACTCTAACATTCTAGTACTTAAGAAACTTAATGTATTAGAGTCCTATATCATAAAAGTTACCATTACATGTAGGAAAAACAAATTAAAGTGCCCAAACCTTTTTCTGTTGATTGTCCTGACATAATTGCAGTATTATTTATGCATCACTGCTGTTTTTCAGTTTCATAGTGTGCTGAAAAGTATGTTTAATATGTTCTTGATATAATATTGAATATAAAAATAAATTTTGTAATGTCCCCCAAATTTCCACATCAGAGAGAACTATGTTCTTATGCTTGTCATATCACATGCTGGGAATTGTGGTTCCATTGGGAAAATTCAGGTAAAGAAGCGGTTGGGAAGGAAGTCTCATTTTCTGGGAACCTCTGTGCTGTGTGCCAGTAGATTTCACAGGGGAAAAGTGTAATGAGAGGTAGGAATTATTAAGGTAAAAGTGTGGTTTTGATTTCTGAGTTTGTTTTATTTACTCATTCGTTCCTTTAAAGAAAAACCAACAGAACCTTACTTTCTAAAAATAATGCGAGTTTTCATTTTTGAGAGCTCTTATTTATATCAGCACACTCCTCTCCCCAACTGAAGAGGTATTCTCCTTTTTCTGCTTTATTAGCAGAATTTGTTACCTCCTGACATATTTGTCATTTTGGTTTTTGTTTGTTATTCCCACTAGAATATAAGTTCCATGAGAGCAGATTTTGTCTGCTGTGTTCAGTACCGTATCCTGAGAGTCTATAAGTATATACAGTAGACACTCAATAAATATTTGTTAAATATGCAAAAATAGCTGGAAACAAATTTCCTGTTCTCCACTACTCTGACAATAATAATTGTTTTTCACTGAGCGTAATCTCCTTGGTTGCATTATTTGTTCTTTTCCTTTAGAAGGCAGAAGTCTTGGTAAAGAATATGGCATATCTTTGTTCATCTTTCCTTAAAAGACACTTTAAAACTTCCCAGTTGCAAATCTTTAAGGAATGGTGAATAGCTTTATTTCCAGGTTAATATTATAGTTATGAAAAAGTTGCTCCTGTTGAATCTTCTTGTGATAAGCTGTAACAGTTTTAGTAATCAGAGCCTGAAGTGATTGGACAGTCATGGGATTTGGAATTAGATGACCCAGGCTTTGGTCACGTCCTCAGTAAACCTTCAACATGCCTCTTTTTGTCTGTATTTTCCCATGCACTTCATAGAGTTTGTTTTAAATGAGTTAGGTTTGTAACAAACTCAGTAAATGTTAAACTCACTATACAAATGTTCTTTATACAAGAACACAAATATTGCAAAAGGAAAGGGAAAGTTAAATTTTCTGAACATCTATTGCATGCTTACATATTATTTAACTTAGTCTTTGCATCAGTCTTGCAAGGTTTGCATTATTATTCTCATTTTAAAGATATCAGAACTTGAGCTCAGAGATGTTACTTAAGTGTTCCAAGGTCAGGTGGCTCAGTTCAGATTTTGTTGAAGGTTTGAAGACTTCTTGGCTAGTGCTCTTTTCATTATGTCATATTAGCAAACAGAGGGAGAGTCATGGCTGGTTTTAAGGCACATTTGTGTGAATTAGAGAAAGGTGCCTTTTCTGGGTGGCGACAGGGCTCCAAGTATAAGGCTTGGACAGCTTGGGAAGCTTCCCAGTGAAGAAAAAGATGTGCCCCTCTGTGGGTGGATGTGGCAACATACCACAGGAAGAGATTTGGCAAGCCAAGCATGAGCTGCTTTGAGCTCTACCTTTCCTTTTAGCTGCAGAACTGTAAGTGCAGCCCTGTACAAGGAAACAATTCCTCCAACAACCTCAAAGAACTCAGTAAAAGCTTACACAAAGTTATTGTCATATTCATGTACGTCACATTGTGGGAAAGGACAATGTGGCCAAACTCAAAGCTGCATGCACCATGTTTCAGAGGAGAGTAGTTGGAATTATTTCTCTATTCATTATTTAGGTAGAAACTTCTGAAAAGGCAGCAGGAAGAAGTGATGTGCAGGAAGAAGAGCTGTCTTTTCTGGACTCTCTGTGGCCTCAGCGATGAGAAGCAACTTGGTTATTCCCCCCTCATCATAGATCTTCAAATCATCATAACCATCAGATCAATTATGACTGTGCAGAATTCCCTAGACCTTACTAGAATCTTTGGGAACTTGCCTCACTGCAAACAATGGCCCTGCAGAAGTGCTCCGATTTATCTGTAGCAAATGCTCCTGCAATGGGTGGGCATGTTAGGAAGACAAATACACACACACACACACACACACACACACATATATATATACACCCACACACATATATATACATATATATGGCTTTGCACTGAAATGTGTTGCTTTGTGTGTGTGTATATGTGTGTGTGTGTGTGTGTGTGTGTGTATTATTAGGCATTGGCTGAGTAATTCAAAAGAGATATTGAAGACTGAAAAGTGCCTCAACAGATAACCTGGAAGATTTCTAATACCTCAAGGCAAGCAACCACCATGAAACATGCTTCTTAGTATGCAGGATAGAGTTGGATTTTTTTTTTATTGTACCTGGCTGCAGGTGCAGGCCATGGTTACTGAAGGACGTTTTCTCCCCTTGACTGCCCAGTGGTGGAGAATGGAGAACAGGTCACTCACTGGGTGGGGCATGCATATTCTCTTCTACATTCTGTCTTCAGATCTCTATCTATGAGGACCTTCATTCCCTAGGAGTGCTTCTAGCCACAGGGCACTGTTAATAATGTCTCAGCTTATTTTTGTACCTCATCAACAATGAGAATTGGTGCTATTAGTGTCCAGACCATTCCTTTTTTTTTTTTAGACAGGGTCTCCCTATATTGCCCAGGCTGGTCTCAAACTCCTGGGCTCAAGGGATCCTCTTGCCTCGGCCTCTCAAAGTGGTAGGATTACAAGAGTGAGCCACCACCCCTGGCCTCAGCTCATTCCATTCAGTTCCCAATCTAGAATATTGGTTCTTCCAGCTTTTCTGAGAATATTTGTCACCACCATTCCTTCACTGAACTCCTCTAAAACAACTTCTACAAGAGATTTCATGTTTTTTTTACTATTATTATTAATGACAGATTTGTTAACAAGAGTAGGGGATTTGGAGAGGCCTGGTTTGTGGGGAAAGTGTTTCTTTTAAAAATGATTTTTAGACTTTTGTTACAAAATAATATTTAAAATGTGTATGAGGTATAAAGAATAATGACAGAATGAATGACTCCACACCAATTATGTAGTTTAAGGAAAGGCATGTTACTGTTATTTTTGAGGCTTCTTGAATGCCTCTCTCCATTTATCCCATGCCTTCTTTTTCTCTTGCTTTTATTTTATTGTATTTTTTAATTGACACTTACAAATTGTGTGTACTTATTCTGTACAACATAATGTTTTGAAATGTGTATACATTGTGGAATGGCTCAATCAAGCTAGTTAGCAAGTATATTGCCTCACATACTTATTTTTTTTATGGTGAGAACACTTAAAATTTACTCTCAGTGACTTTCATAATACAATGATATGAACTATAGCCAACATGTTGTCTGATAGATCTCTTGAACTTATTCCACCTATCTAACTGAAATTTTGTATCATTTGAACAGTATCTCTCTACCTCCCGCAACCCTGGTAACCACTCTTCTACTCTGTACTTCTATAATTTCAACTTTTTTAGACTCCGCATGTAAGTAAGCTCATGTGGTATTTGTCTTTCTCTGCCTGTTTTATTTCATTTAACCTAATGTCCTCCAGGTTCATCCAACTGAATGTAGGAATTATTCTTTAGTAGTTTGATTTTATTACTATTTTGCAGAGCAGCAAGTTAATCTTTCTCTGTAATTAATTAATTTTTACTGTGTAGACTATGCCACAATTTATTTATCCAAATGAATTGGTGGCCATTTATTTATTTATTTTATTGAGATGGAGTTTCGTTCTTGTTACCGAGGTTGGAGTGCAATGGCGTGATCTCGGCTCACCGCAACCTCTGCCTCCTGGGTTCAGGCAATTCTCCTGCCTCAGCCTCCCATGTAGCTGGGATTACAGGCACGGCCACCATGCCCAGCTAATTTTTTGTATTTTTAGTAGAGACGGGGTTTCACCATTTTGACCAGGATGGTCTCTATCTCATGACCTCGTGATCCACCCACCTCGGCCTCCCAAAGTGCTGGGATTACAGGCTTGAGCCACTGCGCCCGGCCCATATCTTTTCTATTGGGAATAGTGCTACAATGAACATATGCATGCATGTGATTTTATGGTAGAATGATTTATGTTCCTTTGGGTATATACCCAATAATGGGATTGCTGGGTTGAGTGTTAATTTTAAGTTCTTTGAGGAGTCACCACACTGCTTACCACAATGGCTAAACTAATTTATACTCCCACCAGCAGTGTATAACATTCTCTTTTCTCAACTTTTTATTTAATAGCTTCTACTTATGAGTGGTAACACGTGATATTTATCTTTTTCTGCTTGGCTTATTTCACTTAATATAATGTCCTCCAGATGCGTCCATATTGCTGCAAATGACAGAATTTCATTCTTTTTATGGCTGACTTTTTCATTGTGTATATATATACTACATTTTCTTTATCCATTCCTCCATTGACGGATACTCATGTTAATTCTCTATTTTGGCTATTGTGAATAGTGTTGTAATAAACTCGAGAGTACAGATATCTTTTTGATATGCTGTATATCAAAGTTTTGGGTATACACCAGCAGTAAGATTGCTGGATCATATGGTGGTTCTATTTTTACTTTTTTTGAAGAACCTCCACACTCTTTTCCATAGTGACTATACTAATTTACATTCTCAGCAATAGTATACTGGTCTTCCTCTTTCTCTGCATCCCAGCCAGCATTAAATAATATAATAGCCATTTTAACCGGGGTAAGATGATATTGCATTGTGGTTTTGATTTGCGTTTCCCTGATGATGAGTAGTGTTCAGCATTTTTTTTCTATACCTGTTTGCCTTTGTTTAAATTCTTTTGTGACATGTCTATTCGGATAATTTGTCCACTTTTAAATCAAATTATATGGCTTTTTGCTACTGGGTTGTTTGAGTTCTCTATGCATTTTAGTTACTAATCTCTTGCCAGATGAATAATTTGCACCTGTTTTCTCCCTTTCTGTAGGCTGTCTCTTCACTCTGTTGACTGTTTCCTTTGCTGTGCAGAAACTTTTTTGCCTGGTATAATCCCATTCGTCTAGTTTTCCTTTTTTGCCTATGCTTTAGGAGTCTTACTAAAAAAAAAACTTTGCCCAGACTAATATCTTTAATCTTTTCCCTAATATATGCCTCTGGTAGTTTCACAGTTTCAGGTCTTAGAGTCTTTAATCCATTGTGATTTTATTTTTGTATATGGTAAAATAGGGACCTAGTTTCATTCTTTTGCATATGGATATCTAGTTTGCCCAGCACCATTTATTGAAGAGACTGTCATTCCCACAGTGTATGTTTTTGGGACATTGTAGGAAATAAATTGACTACATGTACATGGATTTATTTCTGGTTTCTCTGTTTTGTTCCATTGGCCGATGTGTGTTTTTGTGACAGTACCATGTTGTTTTGATTCATATAACTTTGTAGCATGTTTTGAAGTCAGGTAGTGTGATGCCTCCAGCTTCCCCCTGGCCTCAGGATTAATTTGGTGTCTTTTGTGGTTCCATAGCATTTTTTTCTGGTTACGTGAAGAATTTCATTGGTATTTTTGATAGGAATTGCATTTAATTTGTAGATCTCTTTGTGTTATATGGACATTTTAACAATACTAATTATTCCAATCCATGAGCATGGGAGATGTTTCCATTTTTAGTGTCCTCTCCTATTTTTATCATTGGTGTTTTATAGTTTTCATTTTAGAGGTTTTTCACTCTTTTGATTAAAAAAGAAAGTATCCCTAGGTATCTTTTTTGTAGCTGCAAAAAAAAAAAAAAAAAAAACCCTAGGTATTTCTTTTGATTTATTTTTCAGTTTGTTCAATGTTGATATATAAATGCTACTGATTTTTATATGTTGATTTTGTATCTTGCAACTTTACTGAATTCATTTATCCGCTCTAACAGCTTTTTGGTGGAGTCCTTAGATTTTTCTAAATATAGAATAATGTCAGCAAACAAGAATAATTTGACTTCTTTCTTTATAATTTGGAGGTTCTTTATTTCCTTCAGTTGCCTAATTGCTTGGCTAGACTTCCTATGTTGAATAACAGTGGTATAAGTGGGCAGCATCCTTGTATTTTCCCAGATGTTAGAGGAATGGTTTTCAATTTTTTTTTCCATTCAATATGATGTTAGTTGTGTGTTTGTCACATATCGTCTTCATTGTTTTGAAGTATGTTCCTTCTATACTGAGTTTGTTGAGAGTTTTTTAATTATGAAAGAATGTTTAGTTTTATTAACTGCTTCTCAGCTGCTTTTGAAATGATTATATGGTTTTTTTTGTTGCTTCCATTAATGTAATATATTGTTTATTCATTTGTGTATGTTGAGCCATACTTCCATCCCTGGAGTAAGGTCCATTGAATAGTGGTATATTATATTTCTGGTGTGCTGTTGGATTTGTTTGCTAGCCTTTTATTGAGAACTTTTGCCTCTGTGTTCATCAGGGATATTGATTTGCAGTTTTCTTTTTTTGTTGTGTCCTTGTCTGGTTTTGGCCTTGTAGAATGAGTTTGGAAATATTCACTCCAATTTTTTGAATAGCTTGAGTAAAATTGGTATTTGTTTTGTCATTTCACATTATTTTAATTTTTGTTTCCTTGATTATATAAGATGAAAACATTTAAAATATATTTATTGGGCATTTTCATTCTGTTTTCTGTGATATATTTTACCTAAATTTTAATTGTGCTTCTTTAGGGAATTCTTTCTTTATTCTGAATACGAATTCTTTGTTAGTTATATGCATTGCAAATGTCTTCTCCCATTTGCAGCTTATTAGTTTTTTTTTAAAAACATAATGTCTTTTGGGGAAATTATTATTATTATTATTGAGAAGGAGTTTTGCTCTGTCGCCTGGCTGGAGGGCAGTGGCATGATCTTGGCTCACTGCAACCTCCGCTTCCCAGATTCAAATGATTCCCCTGCCTCCCCCTCTCCAGTAGCTAGGACTACAGGCGTGTGCCACCACAATAAGCTAATTTTTTGTATTTTAGTAGAGATGGTCTCCATCTCCTGACCATGTGATCCACTTGCCTTGGCCTCCCAAAGTGCTGGGATTACAGGCATGAGCCACCATGCCCAGGAGGAAACTATTATTCTTAATTTAAAATAGTCAAGCTTATTAATTTTTCCTTTATTAATGGTTTGCATTTTAAGCCTCTTCCTTAAGACTTTTTTCTAACATGGTGGTCTTACAAATATTCTTTTGCATTTTCTTTTAAAAGTTTGGCCAACTTGCCTTCATATTTAAGTTCATTTGGTGCTGATTTTTGAGTGTATAATGAGATCAGTATATAAGTGTTTGTTTTTAAATATGTATATCCAATTGTTGGAGCACCTCTGAATAGCTCGTTACTGCTCTTCTAATCTACATTGCTCACTATCAAAAATAAAGTTATTTTATATGTGTGATTGTGTTTCTGGACTTTTTTTTCATTGATCAGTTTGTGTAACTCTGTATCAATCTCATACCATCTTAATTATATAGTTAGTTTTGATATTGGGTAGTTTCTTGTCCAGAGTTTTTCTTTGTTTTTTTCCATATAAATTTTAGTGTTAACTTTTCAAGGTTTAACAAAAAATGTGACATTTTTATTAGAATTACTATGGATCTATAGATAAATTTTGGGAATTGACATCATTATAATATTCAGTTTTTAAATCAGTAAAAATAGTATACGTCTCTATTTTAGTTCTTCTTTAATGTGTTTTAATAAAGTTTTATAATCTTCTCCAGGAAAAACTTATACTTTGTTCATTAGGGTTATTAATATATTTTCGAATACATTTTATCCTATTGAAGTAGTATCTTTGAAAACATTACATTTTAACACTTCTTATAGATGAAATATATTTCGTTTCATTTTGTACATTGATTCTGCTTGCAGCAAACTTGCTATACTCACTTATCTTTGTGATTTCAATATGAAAATAATGGTTTTGTTTTTTCTACTCTTATATCTTTATTTACTATAATGCACTGTCTAGAACATTGTGTAAAATAATGAAAAGCAATCTTTCTGATCATCACAACAGAAATTTCCATATTTTACCATTCAGGGTAATGTGTACTGTAGGTATTTTTTAGACAATCAAATTATGAATCAATGTTGAATTGAATTCACTGCCTTTTCTGTATCTACTGAGATAATAATTTATCACCTTTAAACTTTTAAAGTTTAAAGTTAATTAAATTAACTGATGTTCTAATGTTAAAAGAATATTAATATTGCTAAGATAAACTGAACTTGGTTAGAATACATTATCTTATTTATACACTGATGGATTTGGCTTGCTGATATTTTTGAATTTTTTAATGTAGGTGCATGAATGGCATTTATCTAGAATTTTATTGTCTTCTATGGTTCTTGTCATATTTTATTATCCACGTTATGTCAGCTTCATGAAATGAATGAGTTAGGTAATGTGCTTTCTTTTACCTACTTGCAGTTTTTTAAAGAATAATTAACATTTCTTGATTTTTGTGTATAAGCCATGGGCAAATTTGTCTGATGCTGATGTTTTCTTTGTGGTAAGAGTTTAAAGTACTGTTTCAATTACTTTTAATGGCTACAGGTTTTCTCAGGGTTTTCATTCATTTCTTCTTCAGTCAGTTTTGGTTTGGTATATTTTCTTGGAATGTTTCTGTCTCATCAAAGTTTTTGTATTTATTGACATAAGTTGTTCATATTATACTTTTAATATCTTTTAAATCTGTATAGCATCTGTAGTCTTTTATTTATGTGTTCATAATATGCTTATTTGCACATTCTCTCTTTTTATGTTCATTAAAAGTTGGTCTTTTGTACTAATCTTTTTAGTTAATAGCTTTTCAATTCGTTCTTTTTTATCTTATTTATTTCTACTCTTATCTGTATTATTTCCTACTTTCTACTGTATTTGGTTTGATCTGATTTCTCTCCCTTATTTCTTATGTTGATTTCTTAGGTCATTTGTTAATAAGTTTTCTTCTTTTATGGTATAAGTTTTTAAATGCATATTTTTCTCTCTTAGTATCCCATAACTGTATCCCAAAAGTTTTGAAACATAGTATTTTTCATACCATTTTGTATTAATATTATTTGATTGAGGCAATAATTTCTTCTGTGACCCATGAGTTAAGAAGAAATTTATTTGTTGACTTTAAAAACTTTAGATTTTTTTAGTTATATTTTTTGCTGTTAATTTCTAACTTAAATGGTGCCCAGAGAAAAAGGGGGAGGAGGTGGAGCAAGATGACTGAATAGCAGTGCCCACTGATTGTCCTCTCCTCCACCCCTATAAAGACACCAAATTAATAACTATCTACGTAGAAAAAACACTTTTATAAGAACCAAAAATCAGGTGAGCACTCATAATACCTAGTTTTAAATTTATGTCGCTGAAAGAGACACTGAAGAGTTAGAAAAAACAGTCTGGAATCACTGATGCCTCACCTACCCCCACCCCCCACCTCCCTGCCATGTGGTACAGATTGCTGCAGCTCAGGGAGGGAGAACACAGCAGTTGTGAGGCATTTAATTCAGTGCTGCCCTGGTAGAGCAGAAAGGAAAACTGGAGCAAAATCAGCTGATGCCTGCCCATGGAGGGAGCATTTAAAGGAACCCTAAGCAGAGGAGAATCGCTGATCCCAGTGGTCAGAACTTGAGTGCAGCAAACTTTGCCACAGAAGGTTACAGTGCTATGTGTCTTCAAGTCAATTTGAAAGGCAGTCTAGGCCACAAGAGCTGCAATTCTTAGGTGAGACCTAGTGTTGAAATAGGCCCAGGGACAGTGGACTGGGAGGGCATATGACATACTGAGCCACTAGCTGGGGCAGCCAAGGGAGTGCTAGCATCACCCCTCCCCCCAACACCATGCTGCACAGCTCATGACTCCAAAAGAGACCCCTTACTTCTGCTTGAGAAGAGGAGAGGGAAAAGTGGGGATGACTTTATCATGCATCTTGGATACTAGCTCAGCCAAAGCACAATAGGGCACTGGACAGAGTTGTGAGGCCCCCATTCCAGGGCCGAGCTTACAGATGACATTTCTAGATACACCCTGGGCCAGGAGGGAACCTGCTGCCTTGAAGAAAAAAACCTAGTTCTGGCAGCATTCATCCCCTGCTAACTGAAGAGCCCTTGAGCCCAGGTACTCAATGATGAAGGTACTACATCAAGGGCCTTGGGTGTGAGCCTCTGAAACTTGGTGGCTTCAGGCCAGCATAGCCACAAGCATCAAGCAAGCTCTTGGGGTCCCTGATTCTAGGACTTGACTCTTGGATGGCATTTCTGAACCTGCATTGGGCCAGGGGGAGCCCACTGTGTCCCAGGCCAAGAAGCATTAAGAGATCTTGGGCCATAAGGGAACATTGGATGGTATCTTGGAAGTACTCCTGGTTGCCTGGAGTGGCAGTGGCTACTGGATGAGGCTTCTCAAGCTTTTGGAAAGGGGAGGGAAGAGTAAAAAGGACTGCGTCTTGTGGTTTGAATGCCAGCTCAGCTGCAATGCCATAGAACACCAGGTAGATCACTAAGATTTAGGACTTTAGTCCCTGACTCCTGGACAGCACTTCTGGACTGGACCAGGGCTTGGGGTACCTCACCATCTTGAAGGGAAGGACACAAGTCTGGCTGGAATTGCTACATGCTGATTGTAGAGCCTCAGGGCCTTGAGTAACACAGACAATAGCCATGGAGTGGTTATAGCAGGCCTTGGGTGAGACCCAGCACTGTGCTTGCTTCAGTTTTGACACAGAACAGTAATAGTAGGTAGCCATTGGCATGCTTGTGTCACTCTATCTCAAGCTTTAGTTGACTCAGAACAGAGAGAAATTTCTGTTTGGGAGAAAATAAGGGAAGAGAATAAGAGTCTCCGTGAATAATTTCTATGAGTCTGCAAGAACCACAGTGTTACTGGGCTTGGGCTGCCCACTAAAGCAGATAGAGCTTATATCATAATACTCAAGTCCTTTAAAATATCTGGAAAGCCTTCCCAAGAACAGCTACAAACAAGCCCAGACAGTGAAGACTACAACAAATATCTAACTCTTCAGTGCCCAGACAACAAGGAACATCTACTAGGATCAACATCATCCAGAAAAACATGACCTCACCAAATAAACTAAGTAAGGCACCAAGGACCAATACCGGAGAAACAGAGATGTATGGCCTTTTAGACAGAGAATTCAAAACAGCTGCATTGAGGAAATTCAAAGAAACCCAAGATAACTCAGAAGAGGAATTTGGAATTCTATCAGATAAATTTAACAAAAAGATTGAAATAATTAAAAAGAATCAAGAAATTCTGGAACTGAAAAATGCAAATGGCACACTGAAGAAAGCATTAAATCTACTTTAAATGAACAAATATCAAAAAAGACAAAGAAGGACATTACATAATGGTAAATGGTTCAATTCAACAAGAAGAGCTAACTATCATAAATATATATGCACCCAACACAGGAGCACCCAGATTCATGAAATAAGTTCTCAGAGACCTTTGAAGAGACTTAGACTCCAATACAATAGAGGGAGACTTTAATACCTCACTGACAATAATAGATCATCGAGACAGAAAATTAACAAAGATATTCAGGACTTGAACTCAGCTCTGGATCAAGTGGACCTGATAGATAGCTATGACCTCTCCTGGCCCAAACAACAGAATGTACATTCTTTTCATTTCCACATGCCACTTACTTCTAAAATTGATCACATAGTTGGAAGTAAAACTCCTCAGCAAATGCAAAAGAACTGAAATAATAACAGTCTGTCAGACCACAGCACAATCAAATTAGAACTCAAGATTAAAAAATTCCCTCAGAACCACACAACTACATGGAAATTGAACAACCTGCTCCTAAATGATTCTTGGATAAATAATAAAATTAAGGCAGAAATCAAGAAGTTTTTTAATACTAAAATTAAGGCAGAAATCAAGAAACTAATGTGAACAAAGATACAATATACCAGAATCTCACTGTCCTTTAATAGCAGAATAGATCAAGGAGAAAAAAGAATTAATGAGCTTGAAGATGGGTTATTTGAAAACATACAGTCAGAGGAAACAAAAGAATAAAAACCAATGAAGCATGACTATGGAATGTAGAAAATAGATTCAAAAGGGCAAATCTAAGAGTCACTGGCCTTAAAGAGGAGGTAGAGAAAGATATAGGGGTAGAAACTTTATTCAAAGGGATAATAACAGAGAATTTTTCAAACCTAGAGAGGAAGGTATCAATATTCAAGTACAAGATGGTTATAAAATACCAGGCAGGTTTAACCTAAAGACTATCTCAAAGCATTTAATAATCAAATTGCCAAAGGTCAGTGATAAAGAAAATAATCTTAAAAGCAGCAAGATAAAAGAAATAAATAAAATACAATGGAGTTCAAATACATCTGGCAGCAGACTTTTCAGTGGAAACCTTACAGACTCTGAGAAAGTGGCATGATATATTGGAAGTGCTCAGAAAAAAATATTTCATTCTAGAATAGAATATCTGGCAAAATTATCCTTCAAACATGAAAGAGAAAGACTTTCCCAGACAAAAAAGTTAAGGGATTTCATCAATACCAGACCTGTCCTACAAGAA